AGCCTGATGGTGGGACTGTTGCGGTTCTCGGCGGAGGAAAAATTCGTCGCCCTTGCATTACGCAATATTTAAGGGGCTCCTCCGTTCCACGCGGAATTCTTAACCGCGATGGTTTTATAACTTCTTTTCCAAGTAGCGGGACACATTAATTTCGGTAAAATTAATTTTACGTCGTCGTCTTCTACGGCGCAAGGCTGAGCTTGTTTTTGTTTAATCAGCCAAGAATGACAGTATTGGAGATTGTGATTTTACACATTAGACTGTCCTTGTTGTCATCGCACGTTACAAGGACATTCTATTGCAACTCTGTTCTCAGTAGACCATTATACATCCATTAGATTCATAAGAATTTTATGCCTGACTTAATCATTTTTCGTGACACTTTATTTACGTTTAGTATTACTGTTTAGCGAGTAGCTGCATATTAAGGTTTCCATGTACTCGAATTTTTGCTGTACCAATTCAATATACTATCCAGAACAAAAAGAGAACGTATCGAATATTCAAATTAATTTTACTTTCAACGGAAATTATCGAAACAAGTTATGCAGATTTGATTAATGTTTTTTTCCTTTTTTTAGAAAACTTTGATCATACCCATTTTTTATGATAGCGAAATAATTTATCGAACACGTTGACTGCCATTAAGCTGATGGGAAAATAATTTTTCACCACCCACGAGGTAACTTCTTGTTTAGATTATCATTTATGCATAAATTTTCCGTTTTTCTGATGCATTCTGATGCTTCTTCAAGATAGGAAGATAAATTCAAGAAGCATAGTGTATTTGATGCAGCATATTGATCTCATTTTAGGAAGATATTATATATATAATAAATAGCATTAGCTATGGACCATTCATAGCCAGCATTGCCTTCTTGGGATGTAACCTTGGTTTCGGTGTGGACTTTGGTGATTCACGAACATATCCAGTCCACTGAACATATCAACGTTCATTATCATACATTATCTTAAAAAGTCACTATCTGATTTTAAAATTATGCTAAAATCACTATCTGATGATGGACTGGCATTGTAGCAGCGAATTTCACATCGTTAATTCTTGTGACTCGAATTGATCTCACGTAGAATATACTTTTGAAGCTTTCTGATTTCATCATTTTCTCTGAAAACTATCACGCAATTTGCGTTAAAAGTTTCTTAGAAACTCTGATAGTTTGATATCTGTAATTTCTGTAATATCTATTTCGTATTTCCAATTCGAGTAAGTCATCAAATTCCGTGTAAAAAAAAAAAATGTTGCATCATGCAGGATCTATAATTAACAATTATTACGATATTCTCGAACGGATTATCTCACACACTCAGGCGGCATGACTGTTAACGTGACTTGCAAATCGACTTTGTTTAGAACAGGAGGTCGTGTTTGTAAATACAGTCCTTGTTAGATATTAGGTGTGACTGGCAAGTTTCTTATCTTTATCCAGATAGAAATTTCGAATAACAAATAAGAGACAAATCAATTTTTTTATATCGTTCTCCCCCACATAGTTATAATTTCCTATGCATTGTTTCACTGTTCCGTTCGATGTATTCTTTATAATTTTCGCGCCGGTTTATGTAACAATTGTTTCGAAAAACGATGTTCTCGTATCGTTGTATATCTGGTAAGGAAACATCGGGTACAAAAAAATTGTGAAATTACTAGTTGTAATGGCGTTTAATGGAACACTTACTCCAAGTGTATCCTTGACAGTAGAAGAAGAAAGATGGATCGCGTAGTGTAGTCCCCGGAGGCCACTGACAGAAATATAGTCGGCGATTGTAATCGTACAAGATACGATATGGTTCTACCGGTATCGCTGTTACGCTCTATCAATCTCCAGAAAAAATATACCACGTGTCGTTAAAAAAGATATGACCTTGAAATGACATTGGTGCCAGCACTCAACGACCTTCCTCCTTGAACGTTCAGGCGTCCCCCCTCGAAGTCCTTTAACCTCTCCAGTGTAGTTTCTGAAAAATGCAATGTGCTTTCAGAAATACATATCGAGATCAAAATAGGATAATTCTCAACTAGAAACAAATTTGGAATAGCTAAAAATAAAAAGTTTAATAATCTTTTGAATAAATAGCCAAGTAAAAATATTACCGTGGTATAAAGCTGAATAAAGGATGGAAATACGTTTGTTCACCGACAGAGGGCTCGGAAGTATGTCGAAAGAAAAGCTGTCGAGTTGTATTTGAACAGACATTTGTTAATATTTTTTAATATCGAATCAATCTCGCGTCTCTTGAATGTCCATAATATCTGTGATTCTTGATTTCTCGAAGAATCTTGTTCGTAGCACCGATGCCGTTTCTTGCATAACCAAAAAATGAAATACAAACACCGCACCGGATTAACTGTATCCTGATTAGCACGGTTTTGCTCTAATCTCGTTTAAGGCGTCTCGAAAGGTAAAATCGGTTTGGAAATATGGCGTGTAATAATGAACGTATCGATCGAAAGTTTTGTCTATTCTGAGACGATGGCATTTCGCATCCCCGTTGTTCTTACTTACTTAGAAAAGCGAAATCCAACGACCTGTATTTGCATAAAAGAATTTCAACCCGTAAGTCTGTTCGATAGCCTGCATCGCATAGTTTTCCATAATCGTCGGCTTCCAATACATGTATTTACGGTTTCAAGGCAATGGTAGCAGTTCCATCGGTCGATTAACATACGGCATAATTTGTGAGTAAAGATTAAAATGTGACGCGGCCGTAGCTATTCGAGTGTATCGTGATTTGCATGGAAAAACAGTATCGATACGAATTAATTTACGATCGTCGTCGTGCCGGGAGAAACGTATGGATCGCAACGAGGCCCGGCAATGGAGAACCGCGTGACCGAGGAACGAAGTTGACGCAGAAGCACGTGAGTGGCACAGAATGACCGGTTGCACCAGCAAACCATGTGATACGCCCGCGGTAAACGCTTCTTTTCTTCGTTTTCCCTCGTTTATCACACGTTCACCTGCCTGAAAACTATAGCGTTATCCAAATTGAGCGTCACGTATTTACATTTGAATAAAACACAATTTATTTGAGATATTTCAGGTTACTTTATTTTTATACGTAGAAAGTCCACTTCGTAACATTAATCGTGGAACACAATGTCTTTTTTCCTCGTGACCTCAATTTTTTGTTACACTATTACATAATTGGGGTTCTATTTCATTAATGGCGGCTAATAATACATAAACTTTACTTTTTAAAGAACCCCATAGGAAAAAGTCTAACGAAATTAGATCGCGTGATCTTGGAGGCCAAGTTGATGTCTCCTCGAGAAATCTGGCATCGAAAATAAGCTCGAACAGAACTTGAGTGTTTCTAATAATATTCAACAATTTGTATACGTTGTTGCACAGTGTTAGCGTTCCATGGCGATTTGTTATGAAATATAGCAAAGAACAATCAAACCGTTTAGCAGTGCCATCTGTTGAAAGATGCGACACTCAATTTGGATAACCCTCTATGCATATAGCGCGACGCTCGTCACCGGACGAAGAACTTCAAGATGGAGCGAATTAAAATTGAATATATCGATGAACATCGAAACTGGCGTTTCTTCTCGGAGGAATATTATAATCGCTTATTCCTCATTCGACTAAAAAAAAAACTATAGGATTTTACGAAAGATAATCGATCGAACTACGATTAAGAAATACTTATCACAGATGTACTAAAACAAATTGTACTTTTTACGAGCATACCTGATACTCGACAGTTCGTTGAAGCTTTTAAATCGCTGTAGCGAAAAGTTACGAAAACATGATGTATCAGGTATGCGGTCTGATTACAGATACATTGTACCATATTTCCTTAATTACACGCATTACGAAATACGCCGAGTTGCGTACAAATGCGCTGATTAGTTGATCATAGATTATGTTTGTCAGATGGATTATAATTTATGATGGCGCGTTTGATAGTTCGTTTGCTTGGATCTACGTCGATCGTTTAGTTATTACAAATATTTGACCGATACATCTGTTTGATAATTATCTGATATTCCTTCTACGAATCGTACATATTAGTATACTAATTTCACCTTAATCTGATTCCCCCATTTTGTCTCTACAGATTATATTTTACGTAAATTTCATCGACTGTAATTTTTCTTATTGTACTGAGATATTGCAGTTAATCTTAAATCCTTAAATAAAGAATAGAACTCGATCGAAATATCCAATACTAAACTACCGACAATATTATTCGTACGATGCAACGAGAAATCACCTAACGTCATCGTTACACGATAGAACGTAAGCACGATGTTTGTAAATGTATACGTACATAAGGAATCTCGCAACAGAAACTATTCATCAATATTTGTTTTGGAAATATTCTGCTTAATTCTTGCTTTCGTTCTTCCGTTGCAGTTTACTTCCCCTAGTCTTCCACTTAACCAAAAACATTTAAAGCACAGCATGTATATGGAAATAATCTATTGAAAATGAACCGCCTCGATGTTTAACGAACCGAAGATAATGAAAAATAATTAATCATACGTTTCTTTTCGGGGAACACTCAAACTTCATAGATGCGTCTTTCGTTGCAAATAAAGTCATATGTACCCATGTTTTATGATGCATCGAATAATAGCAGTAACGCCATCTGGCGTTTCCGCCATGACACTACTAGAAGCTTACCGAAGAAGGGTAGCCACAATCTCTTTAAAACGAAAGAAATAAAACAGAGTCGAAGCTCCGATCCGTGTGAATTTTAAAACAGGGATTGAAAACACCAAATACCAAATATAAATAAATAAATAATTATATCGGGGAATGATGGTCTCGTTTAAAAGCTCTTTGCAATGGGTTGTGAATAAAATAGACAAGGTTAACATCACAGGGGGAAACTTTTCACAATTATCGACTGTACAGAACCTTTTCTCTTTCGTAATGATAAACATAATTTAATCTATCGTTTACATTCCTGTGAAGCTATTTATTTTAATCGAACGTAATTTATACGGTATTTTGCATTTCCAGGATGAGCAAACCGAACGGCAAAGGAGATGCAAATGAAGATAATAGAACCGGGGCATACGTGAATCACGCCTTGAACGTATCTGGAGATAGCATACACCATAGTAATTCGAACAGTTCTCCGATACTACGTGATTCGTATGAGAATCACCAGGGAATACAGGGTTCTTCGGATTTTATATGTAAATATTCACAAGTAACCGAACGGTTAATTAACACGTTACTGTTGATCGTCGTTGCCAGCTGATACTCGCTTCTAAAGAAATCGTTCCAAGTATAAAATCACGCTATATGTGACACTCGCAATAAATGGTGATATTCTTTTTTTTTTTAGAGAAAATGTGATTCAGTTCCAATCCTTTTCGCAGATACTCCAAATCATGAATGTAAAAATCTGTCACTTTTTACAGTAAAGATATATTTTGAACTGTTAAATATCCTTTTTTATTCCTAACTCCATACCAAAAGCATAAATGTGTCAACAATTGTGATTATTCGCTAAGATTGATTCATGAACGTGAGTTACCGTCGTTTAACAAAACCAGAACTTAAAAATTCAGAATTTATCGTATGCGTGGAACAGAGTACGAGTTGGGATACAGCGCAAGTAGAAATAGCGATTAATGGACAGACGTATAGGATAGAACGTGTGTTTGACAAATTCTAAAACGAAGCCTTGAATGCAAAAATTAACAACGCAACTTTGTCACGCGTCTACTTATAAACAACGCGTACCAATAGATTGTTGATACGGTTACATAAACGTAGAACGATACGTAAAAAATTGTACTTTGATACTTAGGATGTTTCGAGCGTAACAACCATAACAACATGATGTTAAGTGATTCCTGAACTAAAAATAAGACTGTTCTTAATTGTCTTTGAGCGTGCATCGGCAATTGACTATTTGGTTTATTTACAAGCAACGGAGGATCGAAAGTTTTATTGATCGTGTAAACACACGCGATGCTAAATGAATTTGTTTTTCATAGTGGTGGAGGACTCGGGGGATGACGTGATCCAGCAGGAGCATAGCCTTCTGGATTCGGTGTTCCAATACACAAGGCGACGCGTTAGGTCGGCTTGCACCAAGAAAACTGTTTACAAGAGACTGCCGGTATTACGATGGCTGCCCAGATACAGTGGACACGATGCACTGGGCGATCTTGTAGCTGGCGTTACGGTCGGTCTCACGGTTATTCCCCAATCTTTAGCATACGCTAACGTAGCAGGTCTACCACCACAGGTTAGTGAGTTTCATCGATTCGAATGAATATTCAACTGAAACAATGGTAAAGTAGGTTTTTAATCCCCATTATATTTTTCAGTACGGATTATACGGTAGCTTCATAGGTTGTTTTATTTATGTTATATTTGGATCCTGCAAAGACACGCCATTAGGACCTACTGCCATTATTTCTTTACTCACTTATCAAACGGTTTCCCACCTTGATGAACCTGTGCACCACGCGGTACTTCTCTGCTTTCTGGCTGGAGTGATAGAATTACTAATGGGTATATTTGGCCTTGGTAAGTGTAAAAAAAATGAACTGTTTTCTTGAAATTCGGAACAGTAGTAATTGCAGCAATTTTAGGTATATTCTTATATCTTGCATACGTGTTTCAGGATTTTTGATCGATTTTGTGTCTGGACCTGTCAGTTCAGGCTTTACGTCGGCGGTAGCTTTAATAATTGTTACTTCACAAATAAAAGATGTTCTTGGTATTCCTGCCAGAGGATCACAATTTCTTGAGATGTGGAAAAATCTGGCTGGACAGTTACACAAAACTTCAGCTTGGGATGCTGCGCTTGGAGCAACTTGTATAGCACTTCTTTTGCTTCTCAGGGTGATTGTCCCATGTTAAATATTATTGACAATTGTAATGTGTTAGAATAACAAGTTAAAAGTTTATCTGTTCTGTTTTGTTACAGCTTCTATCGTCTTACAGTATTGGCCCCAAAGATGAAGAATTACAAACATCTAAATATCATATTATAAATAAAATCATTTGGTTAATTGGTACATCACGGAACGCGTTTCTGGTGATACTTTGCGGTCTTTTGGGATATAGTTTAAGCGAAGAATCTCCCTTCAAATTGGTTGGTAAGAAAAAATAAAATAGGATTTACAAATTTAAGTTAAAAAAGAGAAAAAATAATAATTATTCGTAGAATTAATAGTTTGTAAATGCATTTAATTTTTTGTGCAGGATACATACCAGGAGGTCTGCCAACTGTACAATTACCAACATTTAGTTACATGAAAAATGATAATACAACCGCGACATTTGTTGACATGGTTTCAAATTTGGGGAGTGGTATTCTTGTTTTACCACTTATCTCATTAATGGAGGACATTGCTATTTGCAAAGCTTTCTGTAAGCTTATGTTTCTTCACCTTTTATATCAGATATATTTGAACACAATACAATGTTATGTTTTATAAGATATTTGAGACCCAAGAACCTTGGGACAAAATGCTTTTTGCGACTTGAAGTTGCTTTTTAAATGTTAGAAGATTAATTTAGTTTATCGAGCATCTAAATAAAATTGTAAAATTACTTGTTTCAGCAACTGGAAAATCAGTCGATGCGACGCAAGAATTAATAGCGATCGGAATATCAAACATCGGTAATTCCTTTGTTCAAGCATTTCCCGGTACAGGATCTCTTAGTAGAAGTGCTGTGAATAATGCTTCTGGAGTTAGAACGCCGATGGGTGGTGTTTATACTGGTAATTTGAATTTATTTAATTTATATTTAATAATTTGTAACGACAATTCACCAAAATTTTATCTTACCAAATTTGCTTTTATAGAAACCGAAATTTCACATATTTATCATTTATTTTAGGTGTTCTAGTAATATTAGCCCTCCTTTTTCTCACGCCATACTTCAGCTATATACCAAGAGCCACATTAGCAGCAATAATCATAGCTGCTGTAATATTTATGGTCGAAGTTAAAGTCGTGAAACCAATGTGGAGAACGAAAAGTAAACTTATAATTTTAAATAAAAATTAAAAGAAAAGATTTTAATGATCTCAGAGACATTAATATCTTCCTTTCATTTTCTATCCTTTTTCTTATAGAATCGGATTTGATCCCTGGATTGGGAACTTTCATCGCGTGCTTATTATTAAAACTGGAAATTGGAATTCTATGTGGTATTGGAATAAATATTATATTTATTCTCTATCATGCAGCGCGGCCAAAAATATCTGCAGAAAAACTTACCGTACGCATATCTTTCTTTCTCGTTTGTTAATTTCAGCATTTTAAATAATAATGCAAAAACGTTTTTTTTTCTTCTAATTGTTTGTTTAATTTTTTACGTTGCAGACTCGACACGGTATTCAATATCTAATGCTGACGCCAGATCGATGTTTAATTTTTCCATCGGTAGATTACGTACGAAATTTAGTAACAAAATACAGCAGACGAACTGGAAGCGTGGCTACCCCAGTCGTGATCGACTGTTCGCATATTTACGGGGCAGACTTCACCGCAGCCACAGTAATCGAAACTTTAATAAAAGATTTTGCTTCGAGGGGGCAACCACTTTTTTTCTACAATTTAAAGCCCTCTGTTCATGCTGTTTTTGAGAGTGTTGCATCAACTGACTTTGTTGTGTACAATAGCCAGGAAAAGCTGGACAATCTTCTGAGAGAAAGAGGATACTTGAAACAAACTAAATAGAATATGTTATTTATATGTATATGTTTATTTACTTGTTATTAACTGAATTACCACAATATCTTGCACTAGTGGTATGACGCCCCATAGAAAGTTGTTAAACAACGTCTTTCTCAATTTTTGAGCCTTTGATTACAGAGGTATGCGAGTTATAAAATATTTCTACATTATCAACTTAACTTTACATTGATTTTCAACGAATTAGGTCCAGTTTCGTTGTATTTTGTACTTAAAGATATATTACAATCAATGTAATAAATATTCGCATTAAATGTATTACATCATATCATGTTTTCAATAAACATCTTTGTTATATGTTATTATTATTATAAAAAATATCTGGCAACAATTACTCTTTGTTACCACCTACACACAACAAACAGAGCCATGCGGAAATAATATAATAATAATTCTCATGCTGAATGAGAACCACTATCGTGCGCGCGCAGCTGTACGCAGGTTGCCATTCTACAGGCGAAATTTTAAACGTTAATAACTTTTTAACGAAGCCTCGATCAACAAATTGGTATTCTTGATTTTCGTTTCATTTGGCCTTTAGAATCTCTAGTATTTAAACAATTTATGAAGTTATTCACTAAATTCAATTATAACACAGATTATGTACCTCGTCTGTGATTATATTTTCCGCGGCTCTTACTTTTTTCTACATTGATAACGTCACATGTGACATGAAAGTACACTGAATATGTCTGTTGTGTGTCTAGCTTGTAATAATACTATTCGGGACTATGAATCAGGAGAGAAATTTGAAAAACAACAGACATACTGTAAATAGTTTATTAAGAAATCAAATAACGTGATATTACTCATTTTCTTGAGAACGTAATCTTGCACTGGCATTTGTCACACGTATGGAAAGTTGTTGAGCTCGTTCAACAATAGTTTTGCGCTTTTTACTACTTACACCGTGAGCAATTTCAGCACAGAATTTTCGGTTTTGCATCATTAGAACTTCCAATTCCTGTAAACCCAGAGAAAACAAAAATTTAACTATGAATGAAACAATTAAATTCTCCTTTTATAAGTAATTATCTTCAGTTTAGATTGTTTTCATAAAATTAAAAATTATTTTATTTAAAATATTTTATAAACAATGTCCTTTTTTAATAAAAGAAAAAGTATTCTGTGGTTTTATGTACTTATTGGTATGTAAAAACAAGAAGGAATTATAGTATATGTACTACTGCACAGAAATATGAAACCATAATAATGTTCATAACTTTGTTACAAGTATAATTATGGATAATCATGGTCATTTAGCTGGGCAAAAATGTGGTCACTTATGTGGGCACTACTGTATACACATCATCCACAACTAAAGGATTAAAAACTTAATTGTTGTTCTTACCTTGACATTATGTACCAAAACTTTTCTAAAACCAGTGGGTAGCATATGACGTGTTTTCTTATTACTTCCGTAACCAATATTGGGCATCAAATATTGACCCTTGAAGCGCCTACGAACTCTGTTGTCAATACCTTTTGGTTTACGCCAGTTTCTCTGAAATATTGTTTTACAAAATATATGTATGCGCTTGCAATAACTTTAACGAAGAAGGTATTAAAACTGACAAACGACAATAAACAATATAGTAAATACCACACCTTTAGTTTGCTGTAACGGTCACTCTGATGCCGAATAAACTTCTTAGTTCTTTTTTTGACAATTGTCGGCCTATACACCGGTCGAATAGCCATTTTGATTTTTGTATGATACTACAAAACTGGAACTGAAATCACAAAAATAATGTAAATTATTCATTTATGAAACAAGCTTATTGACAACTACACATTTCTATCGCACACTGTTTTATTTGTATAACTGTGACGTTATATTATTTCCAAAAAATATAAGTCATGTCGTTTCGTTTTATTTCTTTAAATTAAGTTGTCGTGCGTATATTTTACACCACACGAACGATTTTTGTTAATAATACAGATTTTCCATAACATCACGTACCGTCCCTCGTTACCCACCAGGCAGAAAAGGTTATGTGAAACAAAATCACCAGGTTTGGCGTGTTTTTTGGGCATGCGTACCAGGGACCAGACTCTGGTCACCAGAGTAATGGCTAGGGGAACTCCGATATTTCTAGATATTACGAAAAATTTATTTCAGAGCAATTCGCATCTGATGGCTCATAATACATTTTTAAATATTTTATAATAACGTAAAGTAACATAACTCTAGCTGACATTTTTTCTTCTTGCATGTTGATAATATAGAATTATTAATAATTCTTTTATGTTACAGATTTATCCACATACTGTTCACAGGATGAAAAAGAGTTACTTATTTATTTTCTGAGAAATAAATTATTTTGTATTAGTTTTGAACATTGATTTCTCGTGGCAAACTATAAAGTGAAATAAGAAAGAAAAAATTAAATACTTAAAACACTTCTCAATTGATTATTTACAATTTTATATTATATAGAGAGAATTATCTAAATTCTAGCGAAATCCAATATATTTCTACGTTGCTTTTAGCGTTATCAATTAGAGAAACTCTAGACTCAAATATTGTTATACATTTTTTATCCCGAAAAATACTAACACAAGTACATTATTCAAGCTATAATAAATATTGTAAATTGAATAAAAACAATGAAATTTTTAAAGAGTATTTAATAATAGCGTTTCTAATAGATTCGTTTCTATTTCGTCATGAATAGCCAATGAAACATAACTAGTGGACATCTAGATACAACATACTGCTGCCCACACTGGTCTGCTGAAGTCTGCTCTATCTTTCTGTCAAACGAAAGCGTTCCTTGATGTATTTATATAGTGAGTGAAAAGAGTAAATGAATATGTAAATGTGACGTGAAATGTCTTTACCGGGACTTTTCGGTTAAGATATTCGGAAAGATGTAACATATGCAGGTAAAAGATATTTATACGATTAGGTTTCCGTGCGATATGACATTTCCAACGTGTACGAAATTCAAAGCATTAACAGTTATACTTTTTCCAAAGTACAGTATCATAGAGATTAAGTGTACCATGTTTACCGTAACTTGTTCCGCATGACTAGCAGAAATTGTGAATATCCTTTGCTTTTAATTTCCCGTGACTAATTGAAGATGTGCAAATTTTGAAAGACGATCACAGGATATGTTATACGCCTTACGATAATTATACTACACATTTATACGCATTTTAATGCTTTTGATATATACAGTTTTAAAGTTAAAGAACAATTTTAAATACACCAATTTTATTTACAACGATATACTGAGATCGTTGAAAACAGAAACTGTATAAATTTAACAAAATATTTCTCATTGACAAAAAATTGTGTCAGATGTCTGGGTTTCGTTCGACACACTTTCCCCGTTATCGCGGTAATGCTTTTATTTTTTAAGAAAAAATGCTTTGTTAAAGATATCGAAATTATTTTTATATCTTCATCTTCATTTCTTTTTTAATGATTTCCGTTTAGTCTTAATAAAAATTCAGAATGAATGCTAAAAGTAAAATTTCACAAAAGACATATGTATCTGGTCAAACAAGAAGATAAAAATGTTTCTGTTAATCGTATAAGTCGTAACAAATCGCAACATTTGTAAAAAATAATGGACATTAAACTAGAAATTATATATAATACTATTTCACCTATTTTTTCCTTTAATAATTCAATTTATGTCTGTTCTGTTAACATTTCGATCTTATTCTTATTTACAGCATTATAAAGAGATACGACTGATTGGTACTATGTTTTAAAAAATGCCATCTGAGGTTAATGTTAACGATACAGCTTTCGGGAAAGAAAATGGAGGAGATGAATCTGAAGAACAATCCGTTGCATTATTAACAGTTAGCACATCGAATCAGGAATCTCCAGCTACGGTGAAACATGTGGAAACAAATGCTATAAGAAATAATAACAAAGCGTTTACATCTAGTACTCAAGATGATTTTATAGAACAAACTGAGAATGCTTCTTTACCGTTAGATACAAATTATATGCCAACTGAAAATGGTTTGCAAGCGGAAGCATCTTCTTGCGAAAGGGAAGTAACCGACAAAATATGTAGCACTAGTACATTAAACTCCCTCGAAGAACAAAACTCGTGTCATAAATCAAAATGTAATAAAGAAAATGCAAATTTGAAAGCTGTTGCTTGTACGTCTGCATCGGTCGATGAAATTGAAGATAATAGTAATGAAATTACTCAAAACTCGAGTCAAAGGCTTACATCATTGTCTCATAAAAATTTAACGAGGAAAAAGTGCTTTTTAGCTAATGCAGAAAATAGTACCGGAAGGATAGCAAGTATTTCAGAACAATTACCTTTATCCTCCAGAAATATGATTAGGAAGAAACAGTTTTTTAGCAAAGATTTACAGTCAAATAGTACAGAATCTCAGTATGAACAAAATACGAGAGACCAACATAATAATGACGATAATGCATTTAGTGATATTAGGGATTCATGTATAAAGGATTGTAGTTTACCCTTGGAAAGTTTAGCTTCGTGTAGTTTCGATCGGTCACAGTTTCAAAGCACTTCAACGAACGAAGCACATAGTAATATCATCAATGAGCATAAACCGTTAAGTTTAGCAGAAAATAATAATAAGAGTATATGTGAAAGTTTAAGTAAACTGAATGAAGCTGGTAGTTCGTTTTCACATGTATCTAAAAGTGTGCCAAAATCTCAGAACACTTTGGCAGACTTAGTGCATTGCAATGATATTACAAGAAAACCGTTTAAACTGCCAATTTTAGAAAATATACATGAAACTGCCAGTGCACGACAAATTGAATTCGAAGACAATGCTGTAGCACTTTTGGAACCATCCTCTACTAAACAAGTTCGCTTAGAAGAAGCCCATGGTATAGAAATAGAACCACATCGTTCTTCGAATAGTAGTGATGCAAGTAATTCTGATACAGAATCACAGCAAGCAGTTCTAGGTCATAACGGGACCAAAAAGGTATAGTTAAATAACAGTAACAATAATAAATTTAGCTCATTGTCGTTATTTTTTCATGTATTTATAATTAAAGTTATTTTCTATTAAATCAAACAACTTCGAATATTTGATATATTGAAATTAATGTGTTATTTTCACACTTTTATGTATGCATGTGCAGTGTAATTTTGACTGCAAAATTTTTAACAGATCAGTATTACACTCCTTCGAACGTATAAATTAAAATTCAGATCCAACAGTACTGTGGCAATTGTACATACTAATTGCTTTCAACATGTATATTTATAAAGTATATTTCGCTTCAGAGGTCATGTGATACAAATGGTGTCGTAACAAAAGAAGGCGTGGAATATTATCAGTTGTGGCGGAGCACAGGGGGCTTTTCATCTCCTGAACGTTTATACGAAACATTGTATCCAAGTCCTCCACCGCTTCCACCACGGACAACGCACAAACTTTTACACAGAAGTAATGCTGGTCCACCAGAATTACCTAAAAGACATCTGCAAAAATACCCTGCACCCTTGCACCCTGAAGATTGTTTTGAATTTGAAATTGTAGATGTTGACGAAGCTTCTAATTCAAAGGTAATTTTATAGAATATATGTATGTATTGCAGGAAACTGATAAGACAGGTAATATATTTTTACTTAAAATTCAACATCTTTTTTTAATTATGAATACAGTGGGTCCTCGAGTTACTCGATTTCGTAGATATGCGGTTATGCTTTCACTTACGTTTTTGCACGTATTTTGTATGCGTTTTCCTTATATTTATAATATCAATTAAAAATGAAAAATTGTAAATTTCCTATAAATTAACGAAGCAATAAATATGTAATATAATATTTTAGTCGCGGACAGCTGTTACAAAAAGTATAGCATTATTAAGTTCACCAAGAGCACACAGGCCTTTAGAAAGACCGGAAACCGGGTTAACAAATCAGCTAGAATGTCCACCAACGCCTACACACCGCCCAAAACCATTGCGTCCATTACCGATGTGCCAAACATCAAACGTACCATTGTCCTCCGAAGAACCCCTGCCTCCGTGTAAGATAATAAAACTCTATTCTAAAATTGTTCTACAAAGGAAAGAAATTTATATTAATTGAATTGTTATCGGTAGCATGGGAAGCAAGAATCGATAGTCATGGTCGAGTATTTTACATAGATCATATTAATCGTACCACGACTTGGCAGAGGCCCACATTAACAACGCGTAACACCGGTTGCGACCTACGAAGACAGCAATTAGATAGACGATATCAAAGCGTTCGTCGAACTATTTCTCGACCAGACAATATCGATCGTGAACCGACTAGCTCGCAGCACGCGAATGGAAATAACTTTACGAATGCCGAACGAGGAAATGAACGATCCGAAAGAAACGAATCCGAACCATTCGACATTAATACGAGTCCTCCAGTATTATTTTTAACGAGACCCGACTTCTTCACGGAATTACATACGAACGCGGAGGCAATGGAATTATATAATCGCAATCCCAGTCTAAAACACATGATTAACAGGGTCAGAAGAGATACAGCAGTTTTTCCAAGATATGAACACAATAGGGATTTGGTTGCATTGATAAATTTCTTTGCTGATCCGGTTAAAGAGCTTCCAAGAGGCTACGAATCAAAGCTTGATAGAACAGGCAAAGTAAATATGTTCAATTTTCTATTACTAATATTATTGGGAAAATGATCCTTCCGAGAATGGAACATCGTTTAAACATATTAATATAATTTCAGAGATTCTTTATTTGTCACGCTAGAAAAGCCACATCTTTCATTGACCCAAGATTGCCTACCGAAGCAGCACATGCACGAACGTTATTAGATGAAGCACCGATGCCACCGCCCAGACCACAACAGTCAGCTATTACAACTACGCCTGATATACCTGTTGCTTATAACGACAAAGTTGTTGCCTTTTTACGTCAACCAAATATAATGGATATATTGAAGGAGAGACACTCGGCGCTTGGACAAAATATTGCGCTTCGAGAGAAAGTTAATACAATACGAATCGAAGGCAGTACCGCTTTACAACGATTGGGGCATGATGTGCCCTTAGCTCTATTGCTAAGGTATACAATCATATTTTAATGCAACGAGGAATGCAAAAGTATTAATACATTGGTTTCATTATTGTAGCTTATTTGAGCAAGAAATTATGTCGTACGTACCTGGAAACGTGGGTAGATCTCCGCTAGGTAGTCCCCATGCTTCACCTGGCTTAACGAGAGCTTCTGCTAGAGCCCCGGCTCCATACAGAAGAGACTTTGAAGCTAAACTTAGAACGTTTTACAGGAAATTAGAAAGTAAAGGCTATGGACAAGGTCCAGGGAAATTAAAGTAAGTTTACATTGATGTAACAAGCATAATGATATTATGAGACATTTAAAATAGATCATTCGAATAACTAGCCCACCTAGTCCGATATTTCTTGGTTTCAAATGAAGGCAAAAAGTAAGCAAGTTGCTCAGATGGCCTATTTTACATGTCTCGACCTATAGATTCGCTTAAATTATATACTTTTGCATTTCTTGTTTTGCTTAGATTACATATTAGAAGAGAGCATCTTTTGGAGGACGCTTTTACTCGCATTATGGCTGCTTCAAAGAAAGATTTGCAGAAAGGCAAGTTAGTAGTTATGTTTGACCACGAAGAAGGTTTAGATTACGGTGGACCGTCTCGCGAATTTTTCTTTCACCTGTCGCGTGAACTATTTAATCCTTACTATGGATTGTTCGAGTATTCTGCTAACGACACTTACACCGTGCAAGTGTCGCCAATGTCAGCTTTCGTAGACAATTACCACGATTGGTTCAGATTCTCAGGCAGAGTTTTGGGTTTGGCGTTGGTTCATCAATACCTGCTTGACGCTTTTTTCACGCGACCATTTTATAAAGCTCTTCTGAGAATACCGGCAAGCCTGAGCGATTTGGAAAGTTTGGATCAAGAATTTCATCAAAGTTTAATGTGGATCAAGGAGAAAGACATAAGCATAGAGCCATTGGAATTAACTTTCTCCGTTACGGAGGAGCTCTTGGGTCGCGTGGCTGAACGCGAATTAAAGCCGGGTGGTAGAAATATCGCTGTTACCGAGAAAAATAAAAAGGAATATCTCGAGAGAGTTGTACGCTGGCGACTTGAACGCGGCGTTGCGGAACAAACGGAATCCTTGGTCCGTGGATTTTATGAAGTTGTAGATCCACGATTAGTATCAGTTTTTGATGCACGAGAATTGGAGTTGGTAATAGCCGGAGCGGCTGAAATTGATCTTAACGATTGGAGAACGCACACAGAATATAGGAGTGGTTATCACGATGCACACCCGGTAGTCGAATGGTTTTGGAGTAGTATAAGTCGATTTACTAATGAACAAAGATTGAGGCTATTGCAATTTGTTACTGGAACGTCAAGCATTCCATATGAAGGATTCGCAGCTTTGCGTGGATCAACAGGACCACGAAAATTTTGCATTGAAAAATGGGGAAGGCCAAATAGTTTGCCCAGGTATGCAAGATTTTACTTTAACAGTAAGAAAACTATAATTTTCCAATGCTTCTACTAACGTTATCATACAAACTCGTTTTGTTATTGAAACTACTTTGCCTGCCAAATAATACTATTTTTTAAACAAAGTATGTTTTCAGAGCTCATACATGCTTTAATCGCTTGGATCTTCCACCATATCCTACGCCTGAGATTTTGTATGAAAAGCTTTTATTGGCCGTAGAAGAAACAAATACCTTTGGAATAGAATAAAATGAATCGTTTACTTGATTACAGCAGATATAATAACGTAACAAGAGCATTGGTGCTTCGTGTTACTCGAAGCATCATTACGGATTTAAAGGTATATTTGGTCATGTATTCTATTCTTCAGAAACTCGTAATTGGATTTTTAAGATTACTACAATCAAAACTGTATCAAAATGTAAATATCTAGAAGAAAAACAGTTGCGCATATTTTGAAAATTTTAAATATTGTATACATGTTGCTGTAATCTATTTATATTGAATCTAAACGATAATCCGCGCACTACACGTCTTGTATAGAGATAAGAGATTTAATACATTATGCAAAAATATTTCGATACGAATATATACAATTTCTTTTTCGTTTCAAATTTCTATGATTATAGAGCTTGTTGAAAAATCATTATAGATAAAGTAGAGAGAAGAAAAAAGAAGTCAACTTTGAATTGATACAAAATACGAGACTTATTTAGCGTGATTTATACAAGAGCCTCTTTTCTTCACATTTTACAAAAATACTCTTATAACTTTTTAATGAAAATTAAAAAATATGAACAATGCATTTCATAAAAATATATAGTGCAGTTATATTAGTAATTTATTCTATGGTCTATTTAGTTCATAGGTATGATGATCATTTCTAGTCTATATTTTTAAATATTAAATTCGCAGCTATTTTTCTAATGTTTCCAGACATTCCATGTCAATTTACTTAATATTGTCCTAATCGGTTTAACAGATCACACAAAGTACTAGGAAAAATGTTTATAAGACGAGGAAAGTTTTACTGCACATTTTGGAATATCTTTTCATGGGATATTAATTATGTTTTATAAACGTTTCTCCGCAATGTATGTTTTACATAGTTTAAACTCCGGGTCAAGTAGAAATTTGATTAAATGTTTGTAAAATGTCCAGAAAACCTGTCAATGAATACACAACGAAAGTATGGATAGCATATGAAGAATATAAAGTCAATGAAAGTAATGATAATGATAATAATTAAATTATTATTTAACTATTGATTTCGCGTTTAGTATTAATGTAGACACTTTGCAGAATTATATTTGGTGTGTAGAGCATGTTTTGCAATTTGTGTGTATACGATTCTTTAAAAACAATTGTAATAAGAAAGATATGTTAACGAGATACCGTGACATCATTACTTGAAGAATTTATGAACACTTAGATGCTCCTAAGGATTATTCTACCTTTTAAAATTCAATCTTGCTTCAGCAATTCATTGCGTGAAAAAATTGTAATCCATTTAATTGTTTCTTATCCGTAAAAAGAAAAAAAACATGTACGAAATATAAAATATGCGCAGGTTCCTGACAATGTGTGAGAGATAAGAATAATGTCACTTTGTTTATATTATCTCTAAATTACATCGAAGAATAACCATTTTACATCCAAGAGAATATATTTATTGAATATCTAACGAAATTTGCATCAAAGAATTAAACGTATGTAATTATTGGCAAATTTAACCGTTATCTATATTGTGTTCGGCAATATATAATTTCTACTTAAAAAGAATTTCAAATTACGATCTTCGTTCTACATGACGATAACGATAACGATATCGTTAAATAACAATAATAATATCAAAGTAGTGATAGTAACATTATTTATTAAACGAGAATACTAATATTATGTGATTGTTGAAAATAAGTTGCACTTTATATTGTCTGTAAACTAGTCATGTAGCATAGCAAAACGGTAGAATTTAGTATGTACTGTACATGATGCAGGCATGTTAATCTTAGGTAACACAATATTTACAATGAACCATGACTGTGTGAGAGCATTCTTTACTTTATTGTTAAAGAAAATAAAATGTGCCTCTTTTGTTATGTTACATTAAACATTGTTGTTCCCCACTTTTATTCGCCGAATTTCTTTTATTTAATTATAGAACAGCTACAATAATTATAATTTGTAAAAACGGTAAGATAAATCAGAGTTCCATGTGGGAGAAAAAGTATCTCTCGAAAAGTTTAATTCAATTATGTTTATACAATTATTTAAAAATATACAAATAGCTTTATGATTGTACGATGATACGCGTATATTTCGTTATTTAAAATCGGGAATTACATAACACGTTGAACACAACAATTTTCGTTCGAATTGTATTTTCTTTGATTATCCGTTGATCCAAAAGTATACATATATATTTTTTTTTTTTATGTATGTATATATAACAACTTTATTATAGGAAAGACACGAAATCAAGCCAATGATTGATAATTCTGAAAAATGTACAAACTTCGTATAAGTTTCGAAGTCGCAAATAAGTTATATCTTATGTCTTTTAAAAGATAGTAAAACTTGTTTCTTCTTTTTCCTTGCACGTATTTTCTAGTAATCCGCGATGACCCGAGTTGTGTACAGTATCAAAGAATTTATAAAATTAAAACAAACGTTGTGAAAATTAAAATCATTTAAAACGCATTTTAATTAAAAAATTGTATGGTAAATATCTCATCTCCATATGGTTGGGCAGTAAAAACTCTGTGAAATCAATAAATGTAAGGTTATGAAGGTCATTGCAGGACGTAAAAACAAAAACAAAGTAAGACGGCCCAATTGGTACTTAAATTGGAATAAAATTTATAATTATAAATTATGTTTCCAAAATATTTTTCATTGTATTTATTATGTACCAAATTTATTGCGGCTTCAAATTTCCCTCCGAAGGACATTTTTTGTTTACGCAAAATACGTATTTTTAATATAAGAAACTGTTTACCTCTTCGTAAACATAGGTATTTTTTCACGAACTTGTTATTGCGTATTATATCGGTACAGATTTCGCATAATTGACTAACCGTAGCTTTAATCATCAAAGTCATTATCTTAAACAGTTCTGACTTCACATTCGAGGTTAAAAAATGATCTATTGTTTGATCAGTCATGACAGATTATAATAATATTAAATTTCAGATTTTAATTTCTTAATTTCTAAAGGAATAAATTAAACTTAATTCCCAGACTGGAAAATCAAATGATTTTACGATTCTTAATGCAAAAGAATCATAATATTCTGAATCGACAAAATTATATTAGAAAATTAAAGGCAGAAAACCGTGAATTCGCTTCGTATTCAATTTGCAAGAAATAAAATACATATAACTTGGAGAAAATAGCAAAAAATGAACGTGCATTGCCCTCTGGTAGAGTGATTGGAAATTAATTTGTAGCGATTTGGTATTCAAATGATAAGGAACTTAAAGGCTAGGCAGTTGTTCACTATTTCTTCATATTAAACTGATTGTATATTTAAAACTTAAATCGAAATAATTTTAGTTCCAAGTCTTTGCTTGAAATATAATCCCGTTAAAGGTGAAATTTGAGTGAGCTAAATTTAAAAACATTTGTTCGGAAAGAGTAGTTCCAATCAAGATAGCGTTCTAGTTCGATTCTTAAAAAGGAGTTTCAGCGGTACATGTTTCCATTAAACAGGTAATATGAAAGAAAGTGATATAAGAAACAACACCCACGCATGTTACAGCCCTGACAGCGTATGATATCCGTCGACAATGGTGTATCGAGTGCGCAAGCAAGCGAATCAAGACTGGCACGGTAGGGCAGTCAGCGCACGCGCGCGCACGTTTACTTGGTTGCGTTTGCGTTAAACTTTGTCTAGACTCTCTCATCGATTGCTTTTTAGAAAACCAAGTATAAGGAAAATACTTGTTCCGGGTTTAGTTTCCGCACTAGTAATGTATTTCGAAGTAAAATAGTCGCGAATAAACCCATCGTCCATGTTTCTTGGCCGATTTGCGAATAAGTACAGTCGGCGATTCTCACCTTTGCACAGGCAAATCAGCCTAGCCGCAAAATCATCGAGCAACGGCAGCCATCTTTGCTGGCTCCGAAACGGGCTGTGGTTTGTGACAGAGAGACGGTAGTGGTTTTTCATGCGGTTCACGCGACCATACCGTCGCCTATGCACTCTACGAAAATTCGGGAATCGTTTTTAAGTGTGGCGAACAAGGAGAAGTAAGAAACTCGTGTCACGAATCCGGGCTACCAAAATATGGCAATGGAGACGCCGAGGGAGCGTGAGATTGCCGCGGAGGACAGTATCAAGGTAGTCTGTAGGTTTCGACCTTTAAACGACTCCGAGGAAAAGGCTGGCTCTAAGTTTATCGTCAAATTCCCTTCCGGCGGCGAAGAAAATTGCATCTCGATCGGGGTATGTTTTCTACACGTCATTGTCTTTTTTAGTTATCATGCTCGTTAACCGTCGAGCTTACGTATGATGTCACCGTGCTCAGCTGACAGCTGCTCCCGGTTCTCCTCTACATAGTGTCGTATCTGCGAACCGCATGCCATGCTTTTAACACCCGATTAATAACTTTTTTTTAATGACATTCGATGACTCACATTTATTATTCCCGATAAAATCGATTTTGTTCTGACTTCGTCGTTCCTCGGTCCCATCAACGATTTTCTTGCGTTGACGCAACGCTATTTAGACGGCTCAATTTAAATTCAACCCCGAAATGAATACACTTTCGTGCTATTGAATCACGAAGATAGTGGATTGTTTTTTTCTTTTCTTTTTTTTTCTTCTGGTAAACCTATCCTCTGCGTTTTAAAGTATCGTTGTCGTGTTCGATTAAAAAATATTTAATCAACTTTGAATTCGTTATATGTTAATTTAATCATTGAGTTACAAATTTTTTTATAATTACCCTGATTGCACAAAACTTTTAGAAAGATAGTACCATGCCCATGCAATTTTTCTACATACTTTTGTATTATACGTTTTATCAGTATTACTTTTTACGAAAATGTACAGAGATTATTATCAAATTGTTTTAATTGATAACGAAGCATTAATTAATTGTCAATTTTATGTTCTAGCACCTTTAAATTTAGATAAAAATGCAATTTTATAATTGTTTATAATTATTGTTAAAAGTGTTAATTAATGTTTATTGAAAATTATTAATAATAATATATATGTAATTTATTATTTGTATGTAATAATTCAAATTAGCTGAACTACTATTTCCAGTATTTAAATTTTTAATTTTTAAGTAAAATATCTATGAAATATAATGTCCTGCGCGAAAGCTCTTTAATCTTCTTTGATGCTTAGAAAAGGTATTGCCATTGTTTCAAGTGGTTCACAAGACAAAGCATCAGTGAATACAATTGTTTCCCTTTTTCCTATAGTCTTCCTGGTATCTAAAATAGATTTAAAGGAATATGTGCACGATATATAAATTTTCCTTATGTAATTTACATTTAATACCAATTGTTTCAGAATGAAAATTTCATTAAGATCGAGTATCATACTGCATCCTGTTTCAAATTTATAAATATTTATTAAGATAGAATTATAATATCTAAATATTATTTCAGGGAAAAGTATATCTTTTTGACAAAGTATTTAAACCAAATGCTACTCAAGACAAAGTATACAATGAAGCAGCTAGATCAATTGTCACAGATGTGTTGGCAGGGTACAATGGCACTATTTTTGCATATGGTCAAACATCTTCAGGTAAATAAGAATTTATATTAATTATTGATAACAAGCCTATGTATCTGTGTACAATTATAATAGTTAAGAAAAGTATAGAAATAGAAAATATTTGAGAAGGTTTTACTCAAGTGTATTATGTACAAATAGGAAAAACGCACACAATGGAAGGAGTTATCGGAGATAAAAATAAACAGGGTATTATTCCCAGGATTGTTAATGACATTTTCAATCACATCTATGCCATGGAAGAAAATTTGGAATTTCACATCAAGGTATCATATTTTGAAATTTATATGGATAAAATCAGGGATCTCCTTGATGGTAAGAATTTATTGTATACTATATTGATATGCAATAAAATTATGTCATGTAATTCACACTCATAGTTCAATTTATCCGAGTTTACCATTACTCCTTTTGTATTTTCAGTGTCTAAGGTAAATTTAAGTGTACACGAAGATAAGAATCGGGTTCCATTTGTAAAAGGTGCAACAGAACGCTTTGTATCTAGTCCTGAAGAAGTGTTTGAAGTTATAGAGGAAGGAAAATCGAATAGGCATATTGCTGTAACTAATATGAACGAACACAGTTCGCGTTCTCATTCTGTATTCTTAATAAACGTGAAACAAGAAAACTTGGAAAATCAGAAGAAGCTTTCTGGAAAATTATATCTCGTTGATTTGGCTGGTTCGGAGAAGGTCGGTTATCTATTCGATTAAATTTTAATCTTGCTTTTATTTTTCAATATTCTATATAAATTTCATGTTCGCGTTATATTTTAGGTTTCTAAAACAGGAGCAGAAGGCACTGTGTTGGACGAAGCAAAGAATATTAATAAATCGTTATCAGCGCTTGGAAATGTAATTTCAGCTTTAGCCGACGGAAATAAAACTCACATTCCTTATCGTGATTCTAAGTTAACTCGAATTTTACAAGAATCTCTTGGTGGAAATGCTAGAACTACGATTATTATTTGTTGTTCGCCAGCTAGTTTTAACGAGTCGGAAACAAAATCAACCTTGGACTTTGGTAATATAAAAATTCTATAATTTTTAGTTATAAAAACTTTATCTCGTGTATTTTGTCAGGTAAACGTGCTAAGACTATCAAGAATGTTGTTTGCGTCAATGAGGAATTGACGGCCGAAGAATGGAAATCTCGCTATGAGAGAGAAAAAGAAAAGGCAGCTAGGTTGAAAGGAAAAGTTGAGAAATTGGAGGCTGAATTATCACGCTGGCGACAGGGTGAAACAGTTATTCCAGAGGAGCAAGTTAATTTGGTTGAAGTGCCAGATGTTGTAACGCCAATCAATATATCCATTGAAGGTGATTGTATAATTTAATTCGTACAAAAAAATATATATTAAATGTTACTTATAATATACATTATTCCTAGGTAAACTTGACGATGGTCCGATGCCAGCTACTCCCGGTGGTAGTCTGATGGCTGGTTCCTTATCCAACGAGGAGAGGCAAAAACTAGAAGAGGAACGCGAAAGACTTTATCAACAATTGGATGACAAGGATGAGGAGATTAACCAACAATCGCAATACGTTGAAAAGTTAAAAGAACAAATGGAAGAACAGGAGGAATTAATTGCCAGTGCAAGACGGGATTATGAACATCTTCATAAAGAAATGCTCCGAATACAGCAAGAAAATGAATGTGCTAAGGAAGAAGTCAAAGAAGTTCTGCAAGCGCTGGAAGAACTAGCAGTTAACTATGACCAAAAATCTCAAGAGGTACTGTTATCTTAATAATTAATTCACTGTACTATTTGTGTTGAAAAATGTACAGATATTATTATACAATTACATGTTTGCACATACAGATTGAAGTGAAAAATAAAGAACATGAAGCTTTAGCAGAGGAACTTGTAGCAAAACAAACAACACTGAACATCACTACTTCCGAATTACAACAATTACGAGACATGTCCGCCCATCAGAGAAAACGGATTGCAGAAATGTTAGCAAACTTCTTGAAAGATTTGGCTGAAATTGGAGTTGCTATTGGCGGCGATGAAAATCTGAAGGTGAGTAAATATTGTGAAACATATTTACGTAGATAAAATGTGGATATATTAAAAGTATCATGTTTCATAGGTTACGCCGGAAAGCAATGGTAAACTCGAAGAAGAATTCACAGTAGCAAGACTCTTCATTAGCAAAATGAAATCAGAGGTGAAGAATTTAGTGCAGCGTTGCCAAGGATTAGAAAGTTTCCAAGTAGACTGTAACAAGAAAGTAAGTGTTCGATTTCGTATTCTTTTAATTCACAACGTTTCGTTTATACATTATGATGCTTGTTCGTATATTTTAGGTTGCCGAATATGAAAAAGACTTGGCCGATTGTCGTTTACTGATATCGCAACACGAAGCTCGTACGCAGACATTGATAGAATCAATGAAAGTAGCGGAGGCACGGAAACGTGCGTTGGAAGAGGATGTCGATGCTTTGCACGAATATTGCGCTAAGCTGAAAGCTGCGGAGCAAGTACAAGCTGTTACGAATAAAGAAAAAGCAGAGGAAAAGGAGGCGGCAACAAAGATGAGAGTGGCACTGGAAGAACAAATGGATCAATTACGGGACGCTCATCAGAAACAGGTAAAATCATAACTATACCAAAATATGTAATTAACTTGTTAATGGCATTAAATTTTACCGTTAACTTTGAATAACATTTACAGGTCGCTGCACTCAGGGACGAATTATCTGAAAAGCAAGATTTAATCAACGAACTCAAACATTTGAATCAGAAATTCATGTTAGCACACCAACAAATGCAAGCCGATTACGAACGACTGAATCAAGAAGAAGCCAATAAGTCCATTAAACTGCAAGAGCTAATATTGCTTAACGAACGTCGGGAACAAGTATGTGTAAATTTGTTTCGAAAATGCACTGGAATAATTGTAAAAAGAAGATCCAGCTCTGCTATTGCTTGATTCTTTACAGGCTCGAAAGGATCTCAAAGGTTTAGAGGAAACAGTAGCCAAAGAACTTCAAACGTTGCACAATCTGCGTAAATTATTCGTTCAGGATCTTCAAACTAGAATAAAGAAAACTATGAACGCAGAAGATAATGAAGATGACGGTGGATCGCTTACGCAGAAGCAAAAGATTTCGTTCCTGGAAAATAATTTAGATCAGCTTACTAAGGTATGTATTTGCTATTATATAAATTTTGTTTCTTTGGGTGTTCTCTGTATGTATATTTGTACACGTTAAACGCGAGAAACTACTGGACCGATTTGGATAAAACTTTCACCGCTAGGTAGTTTATTCTTCCAGTTTGAACGTAGTTCATATAGAATTACTCTACCATGCCAAGACAGGAGAGTAAATGATAATACTGGGTATACATATTGTTTTTTTTTTACTATTTCTATATTGAAGGCGAAATGCTAGATAAGGTGTAAAGTGTAAAACAAAAAAATATTGAGCATAAACTGTAAACTAGCAGGGTACTAGATTGAAACTCGACGAAGAGGGCTTTCTTTGGGGGATCTATCGATTGGTACGTAATCAGTTCAATTTGGTTCGAGGGCCGTTTATATATACTTATTCGACTATGTTCTTTCATCGAAATCGGTATAGTAGTTTCTGAAATAATAAATTTTTATTAATCACTTAAATTGATCGGAAGTAAAAGCTAATTTAATGTAATCATAAATAACGGTGTACAAAACTTAAGTGTTCGAACCTTAAAGCTAAGTTTTAAAGTTTGAATCTGTAAACTTACATATAAAACTCAAGCCTCGAGCTAAAATATTCTAGCAATTACGGATTAAGCAGAGGTACGAGCTCTGAGAATCTGAAACATGAAATCTATTTCAATAACACTGGTTATACATACCCGTTACGATCTGATATTTCTTCCAGGCTGAATCTGATGGGAAATATATGTTTCTGTTGCTAATAGGTTCACAAGCAACTCGTGAGGGATAACGCTGATCTTCGTTGCGAGTTACCCAAGCTTGAGAAGAGATTGCGGGCTACAATGGAGCGTGTGAAAGCTCTCGAGACAGCATTGCGAGATGCGAAAGAAGGTGCGATGCGGGATCGTAAACGCTATCAGTTCGAGGTAGATAGAATCAAGGAAGCTGTGAGACAGAAGAGTCTGGCCCGTCGCGGACCTAGTGCACAGATTGCTAAGCCAATTAGAGCTGGTCAGCACCACATAACTAATGTTAGCGTTATTAGAACAGGAAATCGTGGTAAGTAGAGTTTTGTTCTGAAATAACCTACTCGGGACCGATCAAGATTGCAATAACTTTGAATATGTACATTTCATTTGTATACAACTCTTTTTTTTTGTAGATGCACGAAATCATGGGTTTGTTCGATTTTAAATGAAAAGAATAGATCCGAGATGCTCTACATTTTAGAGTAAGTGGATCGTTTGATCTGTTTAATCTTTCGCCCATCAGTTTCACTCAATTAATGACTGATAACAGTTATTAAAAAATTTGTACTGTTCCTTATATATAGTATATACATATATAAGGAACTGTACAAATTTTTGTTTATATATATATATTGAAAAAAAATAGTAATTATTGAAAAATGAACAAACCTCGCGACGATTTTAATTTATATATATATATTTTTTTTTTTTTATTTATTAAAAAAATAATAAGTTTTAATTAATCGATGTTTTCATGTTTTTATTTAGATATGGGTAACAACGTACAGTGATCGTGAGCATAATGCCAAACCCTTTACTTTTACAGCAAAAGAATGCAAGAACAAATTCTGCAATGAAATGAAAAGATTTTCAGAGACTCAAATAAATGTTACAATTATAATAGTAAGGGCAATAGACGTAATATATCCGCAAGGAGCACCGCCAGTTCTTTTTATTTGTCTCGATACAAGCATGTGCTTAGTTATATTCAAATAAGTCCATTAAGTTATGAAGTTAGCGCTGCATGTCCTATCGACTTGTAAATAATTAATTTTTATAAATTATTTAATTTAATATCATGCACGATAAATAATGGTGAATGTCTATCAAATAATCCACGCGAAGGCCTCTTGTAGAAAATATTACAATTGTTTCTATTCGAATTTTCTACTATTGTATCCTATTTAAAATATTTGACCATCTCTAAAAAGGCACATTGATTCCACTTATCGCAAGATAACGAATAAACTTTTCGGTTTTACTCTAATATAATTTGACCTACTTGTCCGCAGTCGTTTAATCGAATCTGCTACGGACATGAAAATTTGTGAACAAACGAGGCAGTACTATTTAAGATTTGGTAGGTATCGCTAATGTAAGATGCGATTGGACATGCGGCCTGGAGAAAATTGTAGAAATGATCGTGGCTTATAAGTATTTATAATTATAAGAATTCTCTCCATTGCTATTAACAAAGTCGCGACGACAGATAACTCCCAGACCTTCCTAGAAGGCTCGCTTAACCGTGAGTTAAGTTTGTTGGCTTTTCTATCTATTATTAAGGTCCAAGAACCAATGGCGTTACGAGAGAATGTTTTCGACAGAACAATTTCATCCCAACTTTCATTCATGTTTACTTTATTAATTATAGTCCAGTTTTTCAGTGCATCGATCTTTATATAATCATCTAATTTAAATTAATTTATTATCGCTTATTCTTGTTTATATCAGAGGCTTTTATACTACAATTTAAAGCTCGCAGCCCAACGAAATTGGTCTGTAGAAAAGTCTTTTTGTCGTAGGTAAACAAATTTAGTTTACGTTTCTTCGTTATTGAGCGTTGTGCTCAGAAGTTACCTAAATGTATACTGTACGTCTAATTGTGAGCTATTGCACAGGTCTGCTTAAGTTCCTAAAACCTGTTGCGGGCCACCGATGATATTCGCTCACAATACATATTTCTTTGAGTACATCGTACACACAAGTGCATTTGTTTTTAATAAACTCTGTTCTCTATCCATATTTCTCGATAATTAATGCTTTTTCAATATGTACTTTTTACATACTTTTTGTAATTACTGTACTTATGGTTCTCATAGAAATTTGCGAGCCACGCGTATTTGATGTATTGATCTAGAGCAGGTGAATTCTAAACGTTTATTAATCTAAGGCAAATGTTTCTGTAAGCTGTGCGCAACAAAATACCTGTTCATTTTGCGATATACCGGAATCTTGTTACGCTCAGACATTTTATGGTATTTAGGAAACAAAAATTTACGTTTTCTCGATGAATCATTCTTTTTCTTTATGAATAACGACCGAAAGAAATCATGTTCCCGCGTGACATCGTTTATTGTCATTTTCCGTTTTATTAACTTTTTGTGATATCGAGGGTGAAATTGTGTTTGCTAATATGCAAAGACAAGTGCGTGGTGCATAATGAATGCAATTATTACTGAAATATTCTTGTCAAATGTATGTAAATATAACCGTACCCCATTACATTAGTTTGGCAAATCAACAAAACAATCTACGCAAAATGCTCTACTCGTAAAAGGCTACATATATGTATTTATCGCAAAATACACGTAATATTAACGTTTTAATGCCTTAATGATCTTTAAAATATTGTCATACAATAATGTATTTTTCATTCTACTGTGCAAATAAGGTAATAACGTGTCTGCTGAATTTTGGATCATGGTTCAACAAATTCTTTTTTTTTTGTCAACCTACTGAATCGTGAAGTAAAATATCAGCATAGCCAATTCTTTGATTGTGAGTTTACGGGCATCGGCCATTCTTTCTTATGAAATATTTATTTTTATAGAGTATTATCAAGGCATTATTGACTCTTTCAATGTGGATAAACAAGCAAAGTTTAAGATACTTATCGACCATATAATATATTTGTCTTATGATTAAAATATAGTAAAAACGATGACAGTTATTCAAATAAATCAGTCCACAGCGTATTACGTATTAACATAAATCTAAATTACTTATATTTTCTTCGACTGACGTATCTGTTCGTTTTGTTTTCGTGATTTCCATCATTCGATTCTGTGATTTAAAGAGACGGAACAGAGCTTGATATAATTTGATAAATTTTAATGTATTGAAAATTTCTCGAAAACTCAAAACGTTCATTGAGAAAGTCCTTTTAATCGGAAATTTCCGATATATACATGAAAAAAAAAAAAAAAAAGAACAGTAAGAACATCAGAGTTATTATTATTTTCGTAATACATCAAGCATGTTTAAAATTATAATGAAAAAAAGTTGTAGTTGACATGTATTCACACACAAAAAAAAACAAAAACAAGAATCACTGTTAAAGAGGAGGTTGGTCTATAACTGCTGCGGTTTTTTTTTGTAAACTGTATGAAATATGCGAACGTGAAGGAAATAAATAAGTTGACAGATGTAGATATTCGTTTTATTGTTTTTGCAACATGCCGAAAATGTAACAAACGTATGTGGCCAATTTATATTTTCTTGCACTGTTTTATTCAAGAAATTATTGCGTGCCTCATGAGTACACTCATCGACATCGAATTAGACTTCATATTGTATGAATAACAAGCATTAAGAAAATTTATTGCAATCTAATGATGTATAGCAAGATCTATTTGTATCAAAGTAGGTTTGCTATAAAAATGCAATGCAAATAATAAAAAAATTCTTTTTCATCGCAATGTTTTGTGTCCACGTTACAACAATATGTATATTCTTTCAAGTCCTTGATCAAATTCAGATCTACCTCATCTGATGCAGAAAATAGAATGAAATAAGAGTTCGAAAAATTTTCTTAGAATTAGATAATAGATTTGTATGCAGGGTCTAGAGACGCTGTAGCTGCAAGGTACTATAGTTTATACATACATTATATAAATATAAACATGCACTCTTATTTTACTAGAACTACTTTTAAAGAAATTTACTCTTATCATTCTTATTATTATTAATGTTACTTGATTAATAAGATCACAATGCTTGTATTAAAAACAAAGTAAATGCATTACATTTTTATTCATTATGATACTATTTAAATCTTGAATAGTATATTTATTTAATAATAAAATAATTTATATTATACACCTGCGTTTATTCAATATTCAAACTATAGATAGTTCCAATTTTCCTTACTGATAATTTACAGTTCAATTTGACAAGAAACTGAACGTTTAGTTCGTTTGCTTATTTTATTATTCTTTTAAAGATGGATGTAATGCATTGGAATTTGGGGCAACAATGCTCGGAAGGTACGTTATCGTTCAAAGATTTGCGAGCAAAGTTATTTCCTGCAAAGGATCGAAAACTCGATCGTGCACCAGTATTAAGCGAAGATAAATACACTCCGAAAACGTTAGAAGGCAATTGGTTTGAGCGTAGAACAGTTTACGTACCCCAAACTGTTGATTGGAAAAGTACATATGATACAGATTATAAACCCCATGTTAATGAAACTTGGAAAGAAAATCAAATTATGAAATGGGATAATAAACTTGATCTCGAGGTATAAACACATCTTATTTATTAATATCTTGTGAATATAGTTTGAAGCAAACAACAGATAAAAAGTGAACTGCATGTGCAATACCTATAGATCATTGCACCTTTGTAACATACTTCAATATGACTTTAATGCAAGGGTGTGCCTCGAGAGAAATTACTGGGCCACAAAAAAGAATATTACAGCAACATGACAACAACTTACGATTTGTCTTATAATATTTTACCAAAAGGTCTTAAAGGACCTAGGGTCAGATCATATCGTGCAAGGTACATATTATTTTTCTAATTAATAGTAGCTACGCTTACGTCTTAAATACATATAAAAATGTCTATTTTACATTTAAAGACAGCGAAAATGGATCCCCGAATTAGATCTGACAAAAAGTTATGGTAATTTGACACAATTTGGATTAAAGGATGCCTTGGAAGAAGAGTTATATAAAAATTCGGAAGAAGGGATATCCAAGTGTCGATGGCAGACTACTTATAGGGAAGAAATCGGCCAGCTAATACAAATAAAAATTGAACAAAATACCCGGTAAGTTATAATTAAAAAAAAATTGACTTACAGACTACTTTCAATTATCCTAATTATATGTATTAAAGTTCAATTTATTTGTTATTTTTTAAAGATTCAACAAACGGATAGTGGATTTCAATGTGCCGGATCTTAAACACTTTGAACGTAACTCGTCAGATATTGAGCGCTGTTTACTTCCGTTTAAAGTTAAAAATTTGTAATCAAACTTAATGTAGAACAGTATAAACAAGATATCACATTCGGCAGAAAAAATGGATCGACTTATAAACTGTAATAAAATTGAAATATATTAGATAAAGATATTACGATATACATTTTATTAAGTTGTTTCAACGTCATGTGATATAATAGACATGTTATATATTTTTACAAATGTGCAGAGCACTTTAGACTCACAACTTACTCATGTATAAAATTGTTGAATGTAATGTGTATCTTAGACGCTATCTCCTTAATATTTACCTTAAATTGATTTAAAATCGCAATTAAATTATTAGTACAGTCTTATCATTGTGTACTTAAGAAAAACAATTCTTATATGGAAGCACGCAGATGTAGGTATTAATAAAATTCAACTAGAAAAAAATTAAGCTGAATTTTAGTATAATTTTAAAGTAATTACAAAATATTTTGAAAATATGGTAACAATAATATTATTAAAATTTTTACTCTGACATTCTGTTTCACTTTGTGATATTGCTAACTTGTACTTTCACCGCCTGCGGTCTTTTTAGTCACGAAATTGTTCGGTAATCAAAGAATGGAGTTTTTTTGTAACACTGTACTTAGTATTCATTAATTTTTTACATCTACATTGTATTAAAATATTCTGCATGTTAATGTGATAGGACGAAAGTTGTTAATATAATTATGAAATGTATTAAAACTGTCGTTATACGTGATCTTGCAATACATATACAATTTCCTGTATATTTTCTTAAAATATTACAATGAAAATTTAGCGCATTGAAATTGAAGTTATAATTTTAAAAAAATTTCTTATTTTATCTTCAAATGAGATAGTAGTACAAGACTGCAAATACAAAAATTCATAGAAAAAATTAACAATCATTTTAATATTATTGTTTTAACAAGATTTATAATTTGTGTGTTAATATACTTTAATGAGTCATAAAAATCAAAAAAATGGTACAAGTCTTTCTCATTTGCAAACAAGCATTAATAAAATTAAATTGGTAAAACATGTAATGATTATTAATATGAAACAAACATAATTTTATGTTATTTCGTTAATTCTTAATTCTTAAATTTGTTAGACTACGTACATATTTCACTAATGAACACACATTAAGAACATTTTCTTTATCACAAGATTGACAGTTTAGAATGTCATCCGAATTTTTTGTTCATACCAGTACCTTTACTTTCCATTATTATTCCATCAACTTAATATTCGGTTTATTGTCTAAATTCGATCGATAATAAAAATACATATAAAAAAGGAAAGTAATATTCAGTTATGTTCGCTTATGCTAATATATTAACAGACATCTATGATAACAACAGAAAAGTTTATACTGGCAGTATAATACCTGTTCATCAGATCGAAAAATTCTATTTCTTGCATTACTGCTCGTTAAAACAGTAAACACTGTAACTGATAACCGATAACTAAAATACACATAAATGGCAAATCTAAACTAAGAATGAATGACGGAAAAAACTGATTTATACCCTGTCTAACGTAACAAAGTAGTACATAATACTATTATGTTTAATATAAGCGAACCACATAGAAGTGCTGATAACCAAACAGGACTTGTTATGATAGTGGTATGACTAGGAAACGTTTGCATTCCTGAGGAATTCTTGTTATCACTGATATTTACATTCTGTCCTTGCAAACACTGATCCATAAAAAGGGAACCATTGGTTTGTAGATTCTGAGACAGTAATAATTTTTTCGGTGTACCGAGATTGGATGATGCGAATTTCATTGTGTGATTATTAATTGAATGCTTTAGTTCCGAGTATGGGAATTGCGGGCTTTGTTGACAGAAAGATCCGATAGGATTAATGTTAGCTTGTTTTGAGAGATAATAAGATTGAGTTCCATCAGACATAACTGAACACTGGTCAAACTCATGCACAGATGGCTCTCTGGATGGAGCAAAATTAGAGCCTGCAGAACCGAAGCCAGAACTTTGGCTGGATGATCTAGATAATGACGGTGGATCAATGCCATCTTGCCAATATCCACCGGCTACCCATGACGCTTGCGTAACTGACTTCAGTTTCGGCGGTGATAAAATATGTTTTTTACCGGACGTGTTATTTAATTTTTTAAAAAGCTCGGAACTTTCTACACTGTACACTTTTTTCTCAAAAATCTTAGGTGTTTTAATTGTGCATTTCGGTTTATTTTCGCTCAAACACAATGTGCTTAATGTATTCAAACTATCGTTTAGCAAATAGTTTTGAACCATGCTGTTTTTGTACGGAGATACGGGATTGTAAAGTACACTATTATTATTGATATACGCTGAGAATAACTGTGATTCTTGATTTATACTGTAATATAAAAAAAAATACTTTCTGAAAATATTATTCCTTTATACTAGATATGTATAAAATTAGATTACTTACGGAGGGCTTTGGAGTACCATAGATTTAGGAGTTATTGTATTTTCCATACAAAGAAGTTTATGGTTATTTACTGTATTTGGTGACGATTGGTTGGTAACTGTTTCGCTTAAACTATTGGTAGTTTTAGTATCAAAATCGTATTTATCGCTTGAGGTTCTCATACACGAATCAAATAATACTGAAGTATCTTTTCCGAAAGAATCAATTTTTTTAAACGACACATTTTTATTTAATGTGCTTTTACGGGATTTAGGCTTTATATTAATAAAGCCTATAATTAAAGCAAATAACATTATCTAAAAAACATATAATTGAAAATTAATAAATTTAATGCGATTATATTTTAATTGATTTATCTTACCATGTGGTACTGAGTAATGTATTCAAGAGAAAACCATCGATTCTGTAAATCTGCTTTAATTAATTTCAAGTCTTTAAATGGTAAAAGTATAATAATGCAAATCCATAAAAACATAAGCAATATGTCAGAACTTTTTTTTCTGGCAAAAGCTACCCAGCAAGCACAGAATTGAAAGAACAATCCTCCAATTGGCAAGAATATAAAATCCAAGTTATATGCTATCATAGAGCCTAATATTGTTGAAATTATTCTGAGTATTGGTTCAGAATATGTTGCATTCTACAAAGAATAAAAAAGTTACAGCGAAAAGTAATTCCGTTAAATTCTATTACAAATTGTATTATACATACTTACATTTATAAGAACGCGAAAAGGTTTATGCTTAAACAATAACATTTTATATTTAGCAAGCCATATTGCTTGCTTATGTAATGTATTATGTACTGTAATTTTACAATTCGCACACAATGGGTATTGTTGCTCTAAATTATCTTTAAACTGTTTCACCTCGTGGTCGTAATTCTTTTCATTCATAGGCGTATAAGTAGACAATTTTGATATCTTTAAACTTTCGTTTTGTATACATTGGTTACAAAGACCATTCTCTGCAATTTTATTGGTTTTTGTATCCTGGCTGACTCTGCAGTATCTTTTGATTTCATTTGAGGAAATTTTGTATTGTTCTGGTATACTATATGCATAATCGCCGTTCTAAAATTTGATATAAAAAAAAAGATAGAAATGGTACTCCAAAATATACATGCAATCCTAGAAGATATTGCACAGATAGGCTGTTTCAATTTTGTATCAAGATATTCCCATAACTTTAAAAATACTTAATAGATCAATTAATTTGACCTAGCAAAATAATTAAAATGCATTATATACATATTCTTAGTAATTAACATTTTTTATTGTATTTCTCATTACATGAACATATATCATTTGAATTACAATAAAACATCAATTATCCAAAATAATAAGGAGATAAATATGTTTCTAATTTTTCAAATAATTGATTTGTGAAAATCAAAACTGCAAATATATAATAAATTAATTTTGAAAACTACGTATCTATTGCGCGAAAGAGTACACAGTAAACATAATATAAAAGATAAATTAATACTTTTTTGATACAGCTGTTTTGTGTTTTCTTAATAAGCATTTGCTCATTTTAATGTAATATCCAATACAGTTCTAATTTTAGCATTCTTTTCCTTTTGTTATTTTTAATATAAATGAAACGTATAATTTAATTACTCGTGTATGTCTAATACTTATGAGATAATTAAACTGAATTCAGACACATTTTGTATATTGATAACCAGCCTTTGGATAATCAATGTTCTACTGTATATGTTCAATTCAATTTTAACTGAAAATATAGATTTACCTTAGAAAAACCATTATATTGTTGACACTGTGGACATAACCACCAATTAAGCTGTTGCCGCCAAATCTTAGTGTCGTTATTACAAAACCAACAGTTTACTTTTACAGGCCACCTTAGTCTACATGTAAATAAATATAATATAAATATCGTTAAAACTAAGAAAATGGCAAAATGTACGGTTATCCTTACTTTAGTTTTTGCAAGACCGTGATGATAGTGACGATTATTAACAAAATAGTAGAGAATATTGGCATAAAATTGAACGGCAAGTCGAATTCCATTTTTCACACGAATGAAATATAAAAAATTAAGGGTAGAGTTCATCTCCCGCCAAGCGGCTAAGAGTGCCTTCACCTTAACCTATACGATCCAGAATTAGTGTAAAAACAATGTAGTCACGTGGCGTATTAAAGTTTCATGTTTCACTTTAACTACTATGCAATATATATTAACTGTTAGAAAACACTGTTCATCACTCACGCTGAACTTTTATACAAATTTATAAAACAATTAAATCTTAGTATCATACATTTAATTTTCCATGCTGCCGCCTACTTTCGTCCTATAAATTTTGAAGCACTATCAAACTACGATCAAGTTAATCGAGTACCGTTACGAGCAGCCTTACCAACTTTGCTTATCATAATGCAGTATTGTGTAATGTTTATAAGAAAAAATAATAAAAGTAAAATAATCGATTGCAAATAATGTTTAATATTAAACATAAAGTAATTGGAATTGTTTTATAATTATATTCATATTTGAATCTAATGTAAGCGAGACATTTTGGAACTAGTAATGGATAAAACAAAATATTATAAACACCAATGATGTAAATGTTATTCAAATAATATCAATAAGAATAATGGTAAACTATAATTATGATTGTAATATAATACTAAAATAATACAATAAAGGCCAAGTTACATTGATCGAATCGGTATCAGACTTTATTGATTATATATAGATAAAAATTTAATATTGGTTTGCAATAAACAAATGTTCAAAAATTAATATACCTTTTCTATTTTTATAATTTTGATTAAATAATAATACGAAAATTATTGTTATATAACTACATTTAACTGAAAAAAATACTTCATGTAAACAGTACCATACGTTACAAGAGGTTCTCATCCGCTATTCCGCTATACTGTTTAATATACTATTTTAGGACGTTGTCGAGCTTTTGGGTTGTATCAGTTAACTGTTGAAATTTGTGTAAAAACTGAATTTCATACTATATAGAACAGAGTACGTTTATTTATTATAGGACAATTATTATTGATTAAAATTTGAACACTAGCAAACTTGAAATTCCAACTACTCACTTTCATAACCTTAACTTTTCTCTTTCTTCCCGTAGGGTACACTCTTAAGAAAACAAAGAAATATCTCTAAATATTTTTAAATGAACAAATACGTGGATCTGGCGAATGTGAGCACTAAATATGCCACTCGTATGAATCATTTGAGTAACCGAATCTTTGGCGAAGTAACTAGATCGACAAATTCAAAGTCCATGAAGGTTGTAAAATTATTCAGCGCTCTACCATTGCACAAAGATCCAAACATTATTAATTACTATCCACGGCATAAAGAAATTGATACATTAATGGATCACCTTAGAAATTACGGCCTATTCAGGAATGAACATAAAGACTTTATAGAAGAGAAACAACGATTAAGAGAATTACGTGGCAAAATGAAATGGATTCCTCCACCGTTTAGAAAATAATATACTTATATAATGCAAAATATCATGTATTCTATGTAATATGTGTTTTATACAATATACGTAAGCATTTAAAGATAAAACATGTGTAAATAATAGTACCAAAGAAATAGTAAAATATAAAACAAGAAACATTCATTTTTAGAATATGTAATAACACTAGAATAGGAAGCTGTTATATCTTTGTAATTGAAAGGCAATACAAATTCGAAATGATTTAATTCTGTGGATTGTAATGATTCTGTGGAAATAATGATTTATTTTGTAACATCTACAATGTAATTCTCGATCTCCTTCCAATTAATCTCTTTGTATCTGTAAATATTACCACTTAGTTCTTTTAATATATTCGTGTAAGGTATATTGTGATAACCACGTGAGAAAGATACATTTGTATTGTTAAAATCATCTAAAATTGGTAGATATAATTTACTCGAAAAGCGAGACTTGTTGGTACTTTCTATGGATATATCTTCTGACCAATAATTTATTTGTAAAAGATTAGTGTTATTCTGTGAACTATTAGGTATATAAATGTTGTCTCTAAATTTATAATTTTTTTCCGCTTGCTTTTTTATTGCCTTCCTTGTCTTCTGTTTCCATGTTGCTGAATATTAAGTTGTGTAACCTGTAGACTTCAGCTGTTCAAGATCAAGAAGAAAAGGCTCGCACTGTCCTTCTTTCTCGATTTTCCGAAGTTGTACGAATTGCTGAACTCACGTAACATGGTTCCTACGATACAATATGTCGACTTTCCCCACCACTCCGTTAAACGCTAAGGAAGTTCGTCGTTACTAGTGTCGCCGTCTATGCGTTCAATTATGCCAAATCTGGCCACACTGTATAGGATATAGAAGTCGGTGACAAGCAATTCTTATGATAGAAGTGGATATAACTGTTGAGTTTTGAATTTTACCTTGCGTTTTATTTTATAAGTAAATGGCAATATAAACAAAAAGTAATTACTGTTTACGATTGGTTATAAACAGTGAGTGCAAAAATGACGCTCACAAATAAGGTAAGCGGACTAACCTAACTCGATATAAAATTTTAATGATATTTTTTAATTTTACAAATACTTTAGATGGAAATAGACGAGAAGACTGCGAAAGGAGAAGGTTTTAAACCGTATTACATTACTAAAATTGAAGAGCTGCAGTTGATTGTAGCAGAAAAAAGTCAGAATTTAAGGAGGTTACAGGCACAACGTAATGAGCTTAATGCAAAAGGCATGTTTTGTTTCCCTTTTTATTCCTATATTCTTAGTTCTCTATGATCAATAAATTTTATATATATATTTTGTACTAAAAATGTTATATTTATCTTTAGTACGCATGTTACGCGAAGAGTTGCAACTTCTTCAAGAACAAGGATCGTACGTTGGAGAAGTTGTGAAACCAATGGATAAAAAGAAAGTTTTGGTTAAAGTACATCCAGAGGGTAAATTTGTTGTGGATATAGACAAAAATATTGATATTAAAGACGTAACACCAAATTCAAGAGTTGCATTGCGCAATGAAAGTTACACTCTGCATAAAATTTTACCAAACAAAGTTGACCCTCTTGTTTCTCTTATGATGGTCGAGAAAGTACCAGATTCTACATATGAAATGGTTGGTGGCTTAGATAAACAAATTAAGGAAATTAAAGAGGTGATAGAATTACCTGTTAAACATCCTGAATTGTTTGATGCACTTGGAATTGCTCAACCCAAAGGAGTTCTTTTATACGGACCACCAGGTAAAGAAATAATAAAAAAAAACTACTGTTTTATTCGTTATCAGGAAAAATGATTATCTTATCAATGGATTTGAAATTTATTTTTAGGCACTGGGAAAACTTTATTGGCAAGAGCTGTTGCTCATCACACAGAATGCACCTTTATTCGCGTTTCTGGTTCTGAATTAGTACAAAAGTTTATTGGTGAAGGTTCACGAATGGTTCGTGAACTTTTCGTAATGGCAAGAGAACATGCGCCATCCATAATATTCATGGATGAAATAGATTCAATTGGAAGTTCTCGTATTGAATCTGGGTCTGGAGGAGACAGCGAAGTATGTTTTCTATTTTAGATTTCAAAATTTGATTCTTTTTTTATTTAAACTTAATAAACATTATGATTAGGTTCAACGAACTATGCTTGAATTACTCAACCAATTGGATGGTTTTGAAGCAACAAAAAATATAAAAGTTATTATGGCAACAAACAGAATTGACATATTGGATCCTGCTCTGCTAAGACCAGGACGTATTGACCGTAAAATTGAATTCCCTCCTCCAAATGAGGAAGCGCGTCTCGATATTTTGAAGATTCACTCGAGAAAAATGAATTTAACTCGTGGTATTAATTTAAGAAAAATTGCAGAACTTATGCCTGGTGCATCGGGCGCGGAAGTTAAGGTACGTAATGTTACTTTTACACAAATAATGAAGCACTTTATGAACATTACAATTGTTCGTTCATCTATTTATTCTTCTTACTTCTAGGGTGTGTGTACAGAAGCTGGTATGTATGCTCTCAGAGAACGTCGAGTTCATGTTACTCAAGAAGATTTTGAAATGGCTGTAGCAAAAGTTATGCAAAAAGATTCAGAAAAGAATATGTCGATTAAGAAGTTATGGAAGTAATTTTATTACACTATATTTCATTCTTTCTATATTATTTGCATTTTTTTGTAAAACCATTTGTGAACTCCATGTAACTTTGAATGAAATATATTCGAAATAAAGATTATAGTTGATAGGAAAAATTATTATTTAAAAATGTATTTACATAACAAAGCTTTGTTTCTCTTTGAATATTTTCGTTTTTGTAAGAAAATCAATTTTAAAATGGTTTTTGAATTGATTTGATAAAAAATCGATAAATACTAAGAGTTCATAAAGTTGACAGCAGCAAATATGTGGTAACAATGTTTAATGAAAGATAAATAATTTTATATACACCGGGGGGAGTAGGGTTGCCAGCTTCTCATGTGAGAAGAACTTGAAATTTTTTCTTTAAAAGTACGAGTGGGAAAATGGGGGAATAGTACTTGCTAAACTTACTAGATTACTTAGTGGACAGCGTACGTAGCGTGAAAGTGATGACTTTTTGGTGGGGATGGCGGTAGATGTTTGAATTGTTGATCATTCTGTTCGAGTATTTATATATCTGAAAACAATTGAAGTGTTCACATATTATGATACCAAAGTACAAAACAAACTATGAAAACTTACTGATTCGTAATTCGTCTGATAATCCTATTGGTTAGTAAAGAAGCTATCGCAACGCATAAAATCTTTCGATTGGTCCCCTCACCCCGTGAATATACATATACACTTTCTAATTATTTTTTACGAACAAAAGTTATTTGATTTTACTGTAAAAAGATGAAAGTAATTCATGTAAAATTCGATGAAAACGAAAGAAAGGCGAAGTACACAGCTCTGCGGGAGGCTGGACAAATTGAGGATCGATCGTGTCAAAATATCGATTTAAAAAATCGATATTCTAGAAACAAACATCCTTGCTATGGCTGCATGCTGCATGCGGTGTATGTTTCTTAGTTATTCTAATTTCTTAATTGTAATAGATTTTCAATAGGAAATATACCTGCTTATACTTCAAAATGGGTAAAAAAACAAAGATTGGAAAACAGCGGAAGGATAAGTTTTATCAATTAGCAAAAGAAACAGGTAAATAGAAATAATAGTTTGATTACAGACAATGTGATATTGTATTTAATGTATTACGCTCGATGATCTCAAATTTAATTTGTTAAAAAGTATGGAATGAAATGTTAAATACCAAGTTTTATTTGTTTATAAACTTTTGTCTTACGCGTTACACATAAACAACATGTTTCATAGGTTATGTTTTATAGGTTATAGGTCACGTGCTGCTTTCAAGTTGATTCAGTTGAATCGAAAGTTTGAATTTTTACAAAAGTCTCGGGTATGCATTGATTTATGTGCAGCTCCTGGTGGATGGATGCAAATCGCTCGGCAAAATATGCCGGTATCTTCCATTGTAATAGGAGTAGATTTGTATCCCATAAAACCAATTCCAGGATGTATTAGCCTGATAGAAGATATCACGACAGATAAATGTCGCGTTTCAATATCCCGCGAATTAAAGACTTGGAAAGCTGATGTGGTATTGAACGATGGAGCACCAAATATTGGTAAAAATTGGTTTCACGATGCGTATCAACAAATTGTTCTAACTTTAGCTGCTCTTAAAATGGCAACATATTTTCTGAGACCTGGTGGATGGTTTGTTACCAAAGTTTTTCGGTCAAAAGATTATCATGCATTAATGTGGGTTCTAAAACAATTATTTAGAAAGGTATATAATTTGATCATTACGATAATATAATTTTTGGAGTATTTTCCCGATTGGCACTCGCACTTAGTATCTTTGAAACTATTAAATTCCTGAAGTTAAGATTTTATATCCCCTCTATTTCCTCCAAATTTTATGTCTGTCTGCTACAGGTGCCATTCGGAAGAACAGCTAATTTTTATTATATTTTGTGTTTTATTTAAGGTACATGCAACCAAACCTCAAGCATCGCGTTCAGAATCTGCTGAAATTTTCGTTGTCTGCCAGTATTATATTGCTCCGGACAAGCTAGATCCTAAATTTTTAGATCCAAAGTACGTTTTTTCAGAATTAGAGGTAGAATCTGCAAATAAATTAAATGTGTATGCGCCAGAAAAGAAGAAACAGAAAGCAGAGGGGTACCCAGAAAATGATTACACCTTGTATCATAAGTTATCCGTTAAAGATTTTATAGCGCATGAAAATGCTGTAGAAGCATTGCAGAATGCTTCTGAAATTGTTTTCGACGATGAAATAATAGCAAATCACGAAAAGACAACTAAGGAAATAAAGGAATGTTGTAAAGATATTAAAGTATTAGGTAAAAAAGATCTGCGACGTTTACTCAATTGGTGGAAAACGTTGAAGGAATGCTTAAAAGAAGAAGAACCGGTAGCAGAAGGTGCAGAAAAAGTCGAAGAGTCAACAGAAATAGCACCTGTGGGTCAAGAAGAACTGGAGGATTTAGAAGATGAACAAATTATGAAACAAATTGAAGAGCTTAGAGCGGATGAAGCTAGAGACCTGAAGCGAAAGAGGAAAAAGGTTAACAAAGAAAGACAAAAGTTAAATGAACGTTTGAATTTAAAAATGGTACATAAGGGCAACGAAGGTCCCATATTGGAAGGAGATGATATGTTTAATCTGAAAGAGATTAAAACGTATCAACAGTTACAAGACATAACGAATCAACAACCTGACGTGGTTGCAGAAAGTGATGTAGATTCAGATGAAGAGCAAAGAAAACCGAAAACAGTCAAGTATAATAAAGACGAAAATCATTTGGATAGCTCAGGGTTGTATTATAAAACGGGGAATAGTGACTCGGAAGATTCAAGCGAAGCGTCGGATAATGATTCAGATAGTGAAAAATCAGGCTTAGGTAGCTGAATACTGAAATATTATTTATATAAATTTTGCGCGAATATAAAAGACTCCTATATTTTTACGCAATTAATTTTTATTCTCAGGTTTGGACGAGTCCGATGATGAAGATAGAAATGAAATTCGGAAAAAGAGAAAGAAAAATGACGAGGATTCAGAAAATCCTTTGATAACTGATTTAGATCAAAGGGACAAGAAAACTAAACGAATTCACAAGGCAGAATTATGGTTTGAAAAAGACATATTTAAGAATTTAGAAAATGAAAAAGATGAGGATCTTGAATTGGATAAAATGGTAGAAGAATATAGAAAAAAAGGTGGTCGTTTAATAGGTGAAGATAGTGAAAAAGAAAATAATGCAAGCATAGAAAAAGGTCAAGATGATGGTAATAGTGAGGATACAAATTCTGATTATGACATGCAAGAAATGATGACTTCTACTAAAAATGCTAAAAAAAATAAGATTAAAGTTAAAAATGGGATTGAAGTTGTTTTACAGACAAATGGTGAGTATATTATAGCCTTTATATTAAATAATAAACAATAAATAATAATACCGTTTTATAATGTATAGGTATAAAGCCAAAAAGAAAGAAACGTTTGTCGGAAGAGGATCTTGCGTTAGGATCATTATTGATTCAAAGTAGGAAAACTCGAAGGGATCTGATAGATTCAGCTTGGAACAGATATGTGTTTAATGATGAAAAGTTACCAGATTGGTTTGTCCAAGACGAAGGGAAGCATATGAAGAAAGAAGCTCCTGTGCCTAAAGAGCTCGTTGATGAATACAAAAAACGAGTGGAAGATGTGAATGCCAGGCCAATTAAAAAAGTATTAGAGGCAAAAGCGAGAAAAAAACAACGAGCATTGCGAAAGTTGGATAAAGCAAAGAAAAAAATGGAAGTAATAATGGAGAACACGGATATCAGTGATAGAGAGAAGTCGAAACAAGTACAAGCGTAAGTATAATTTCCTGCATAGTATTTTCTACGATGAATAGATATTAGATTTAGCTTTTATTTTTATGTATGTTTTTTTACATTTTTATCGCAGATTGTACAAGAAAGCTAAAAAAGAAACGAAGAAAGAAGTTACTTATGTAGTGGCAAAGAAACATATGGCACAAAAGAAAGCAGCGAGACCTGCCGGTGTTAAAGGACGTTACAAAATGGTTGATCCCAGAATGAAGAAAGATTTACGTTCGGCGAAAGCGAAAGAAAAAACGAAAGGACGGGGAAAGAAGAGTCGCGGCAGTAAACCACCCCGAGGGAAACCTAAGGCTCAGAAGGGGAAAAAATGAAATTAATTTGGTGACCTTATATTATCGTTACAATAATACAAAATATAAAATACACAAGTAACTTTCAAACGCAGAGTGAACGTTACTTTGTAATGTCTCATAAGTGTATATGTATATACTACGTTTTGTACATACATGTGTATAAAATTACACAAAGACCGAAATTCAAACTATTTTGTACATATATGCATTGTGAATTGAAACTTATGTATTCTTGAATACATGGTTCTTTGTTCTATTAATATTAAGTTCGTGATAACTTACATCTGTCAATAAACGGACTGAATTTTTGTAATGAGTTATTTTAACGATTTACGAAGCGATATGTGAGGTTCGTCGATATAACAATACCACCGCCCACCTGTTCAGCTATGCGAGTTCTGCCCCCTCTACCACGATCGACTCGACATACACAATCTTTCCCCTAGACTTGACAACGTTAACAGCATCTTTGTCGGTTGTATTCCGTGCATCGAACATTCTGATGCAACCGTGGCCTGCGTAGCGTCGGGACGCTGCGGTCGATGTCAAGGACAAGGCCGATAGCATTTAGAAAGATCGTTCTACGTCGATGTCGTTGCAATGAAAGTGGCGTCGACGAAACTTTTTTGGCCCGCTGCCAAAAATCGCATCACCGGCTTCCGGCTTCGACGGTGACGTTGTTTCTAGAATTGCACATATCTACGTACTATCGATATGTTGCCACCGGTATCGGGTAAAATTTTATTTCAGCAATAGATTCAGTAAAACGTCGAACGACATAATAGAGAGACAAATTCACATCGATAAATAATCGATACAGGTTAACCAAAGTTGATTCGATGCATATTTATTCCGGGATATTACACGTGGTTTGCGTAATTTAAAAAGCTAATTAATAATTGTTAGTTTAATTACTGTACCATTATTTTTAATTTTAATAATTAACTTTTTCATATTAAACATATTCATAACTAAACTAGAGACTTTTTTGCTTCTTTTTGAACTTCGATATTTATCGATTAATCCTCTTCTTCCGTTACTTACGAAACACTAAAGTAGGATACTTGAATCGTATGTGTAATAGAGGTTAGTAGAATTATTTAAATTTAACGGATTCAAAGTTGAAAGTGTAAGCAGTGTTAGTATAAAGCTTATAACGTCATAGCTATGATCCATTTTGTATTCTGATAATCGTTCTACTGTACCCAATAAAATCAACGTAGAGTAATTCATTCGTGATGTTTCTTCGATCGAACAGATACAATTTTTCGTCTATTACTCGCGGTTTTTCTGAAAGTAACCTAAAAGCTGTTACCGAAAACTGAAATAATCTATTGTTTCAAAGTATTCGCGAGCCCCTTGAATAGATATTTTTTATCTGTTAACGGATAAAAAATAAACGATATATTTACTATCACTGGTCAAAACTGAATGCTTTTCCGTATATTTATATTTCGTTCTTTTGATCCGTTTTCCGATTTGTTCGCTCGCTATTCGTAAGTTTTTTTTTATCATCTAAACGTTTATTTTCTTAAGTGGCAGGAAACACCGACGATGATGTAACTACGTGCGGTGACGACCCGTTGCAGCGGCCAATGTCAAGGTCGAGCCTACTGATACTTACATATACATATATAGGTTTCGTAACACGATGAAATTGAATTTCGCCGCTATGAGGGAATGAACAGACTATACAAATCGGCGGTGGGCTTCTGGATTTATATAAATTGGTAATTTGTAACATTATTCGGGAAGGTGAAAGAGAACCACGAGGCTGAATTTATCGCTTGGCTTCCGATTTATTTTGTAAAATCGTAGAATGGTACGTTGCTGGTCGAATCGTAAATAAATAAAATTGATTTTACTCTCTCAAATTGCAGTGGCATTGATTACTGGAGGAGAGGCCAAATAGCTGGATTTGAAGCTGCCTGTGCCGGAAGATCTTTTTCCGGATGTGTCGAAGCTTTTTGACGAGTCCTTTATCCCCACCACTTTACTCCCCACCACCAAACCACGCGTATTGGGCAAAGGCGCGTTTTCACGCACGACATATTACAAGTTCGTATTGTATTCCTATATTTTTATTATGTTTGAAAAAATTTGAAAAATATTAATTTAAAATTTATATTTCTTACATCTCTTCACTGGTTGGATTTCGTGCATAACCGAACAATTTGTGTTGATGTTTCATTACAACACGTTTCATTTGAATTTCAAATGCGATGTATTCGTTTCGCGTTTGTTTTCCTTCTGTTTCGAGAAGGCGATTTTAGAAAGTCATAACAGGTTTAATTTTAAAAGGATACCGGCAGAATCCCGAGCGTAGTAATACCCACTTGTTCCAATTTGCTTGGCGCGAGCCAAGTTTGCGTTGGGCGCCAAACACTTGTAGGTGCTGCAATCGGCGCTCATAAATCTTGACGCACTAGCGCCGGTTATTGACGAATTTTAGTTTGAAAACATAATAATAGAATATAAATATAGAAATAGGAAAAGTTTGAAAAAATGAGCAAAAATATCAAATTTCTAGACCAGATTATCCCGTTAATGATTCTTAATTACCACGATGAAATAACATTTTGAATAATTTCAGGTCATTAATCTTCTTGAATCTACTACATTCCGAAAATATTAAACTTCAAAGGTGAACTTGGTTAATCTCAAAACCTTGAACCGGTCGGACAGCTCACAAGCCGAATTAAAATTATTACGAGAAATTGCGCCGGTAATATCCGCAATTAAGAAACAAGCGGTATCGCAAACGAACAACATAGTTATCGAAAACTTTATCTGGCAACAAACCTAATGGTTCTTATTATACCTCACTCGTTAAAAAAAGAATAAATTGTATACAATATACTATAGATATTATTGTTAGAAACAGTACGTATTTCTTTTAAATAAATTTATGTATAAAAAGTATAATTTATTTGGTAAATAAGAGATCTTGTTCCGCAATCTCTATGTTTACAGTACTATTTCTCATAAGTAGTAACAACAAACAATTGACGCACGTTGCATAGTCAATTTTACTGGCATAGGCATCTTTTATGAAAGGCTGTTAGTGTGTCCGGGTATCTTTATGCGGTTGGCGCTTACGTCAAGGGCGACCTCGACTTTCCATCGTCTAATCTGTACGAGAATCGGTCGAGACAAGCATTTCGTTTCAATTATACGCCGTCATATACATATAACTCATAAGACCTGATAATCATTTTATGACAATGTTCCAAACATTGCTTTGTCGATAGTAGTGTCATTAAATCATTAATTGAAATGAAATCTCATTCAGTGTATTGTCCAGTTGCGTCCACGCGATCTAGAACCATTCAGATTAAACTTTCATTTATTTCCCAATAGTTTAACAGTATTATTACAGATTAACATTGTTTAAAGGTAACAGTTACGTCGAATAGTGTTACTATAATATAGTTGAACTGATCAATCCATTTAGCAAATTGTTTTTTCTAGCATGCATGCAATTCAAAGTCATTGCTATATGACCTGCGTTATCGCTACGATAGTATGGCAGATTTCATCTACTATTTTCATCAAAATGTATTCATTAGTCGTTAAACTATTTATAATCATGCTCTTAATTTCGTTCGTCTGTTCGAGCAAATGTTTGTCAGGTAATAGTTGTTTATTTAATATGTTAAAGAGGACCGATTTTTATAGATATTAAAGCCGATCGATCACTATTACAGAAAAAGTTATGCTAGAAATTTTACAAATACTAGATAAATTGTTACAGAAGTTAATGTAACTTTTCTTATTTTTAAGGGCATCTGTTGGCGTCCTCATAACATGGTGTCCAGAGGCACATGCTCCTTGGCGCTCCTACTTTGTTACGATGGTAAAGTATTAATAATTAAAACTATAATAAAAATTTTATCGCGATAGTACTACCCACGTGTTCGTTCTTCTCAAAACGCATATACCGAAGTTTTCCTCTCTCAGAATCTTTACTATTATTTCCATGTAACCTTTAGTTGTAAGACCAAACAGTAATCGAGGAACTGAGTAGACCAGAAGGGGATGTGATTGATAGTAAAAGTAACCCGCGCGATTATATCGGAATGAACCAGACATATACTATAAGTATGACGGGAGAGAGATCTAGGCGTAGGAAAAGGGATAAAATGTTGGGAGGGGCCGTTGATATAACGAGACAAGGGCTGACGTGCGGTAATTGAGAATTGTTAACGAGTCCTCGAGGGAGATCGAGCGGCTGGATTTTGTCAGTTCCTCTTTTACTCTCCACCGTCGTTAACCATCAGCTCCTCTCCTTCTTTTCGTCCCGGCTTCCTGGTCACGGTGCTGGTGACCTTCAACCGTTCAGGAGTGGATGGACCTTGTTGGCCAGCGGGCTGAGGTATAAGGTCAAGGTTGCCGTTGTCGGTGAGCACGGGATATGCGACCTCCGGATGCATCGAGCGAGATGCGCGCGCAGCCGGCGCATGCGCGCCACTGACCAGCTTGTCGTACGTCGCAGCACATCGTGCAAGCCATTGCCAAGGTCTTCGCTGGTCACGGGCAAACCGTTATAAGTAGCGATGGGCACAATCCAAAACGTAATCGAAACAAACAAACACCGTAACGTATGCAGCGATGCAGTTTACTCCTTCCCACCCCATGAGATTTTGCAGATCAAAATTGAATAAATCTAGACCTAACCTAGATCTCACCCAGACGAGTCTGTATTCAAATCAGGTAAATAAACTGATTCATTGATATTGATTGAACAAACCAAATAGAACAAATGCATTAAACGATTAAAATTAAAGCCGTACAAAACTCGTTGCTTTGTTGAAAATATTATGCATTTTTTAATGATTTGGTATAGCATAAGCAGTATTTTGAGTTTACGATTAAAATGGCCGCCCATAATGGCCGAGAAGAAACCACATACATAAATTTGATACGCGTGGTATAAATGCAGTCGAATTAAACGTTTAGTGTACTTTATTTTAGACTGTCAAACTGTTTAGTATCAAAAATAAATACGGTGTAACCTAATTGTAAGTCTTCATGAGCAAATTTATCTTATAGCATTTGAGGGTACTTAATTTTCCAAGTGTCAGATATAAAAACGTAATTATCACTGGGAATGCATTCCAGCTTGCTATTTTATGGTTCTTGAACATAAGTAGTACAATTCATTATCATTTACGCGCAGTATTTTCAGAGATGAAAGTACCACGGTTTATAAAGATTAAACGGTTGTACTAATTATACAAATTTTTACGGTTATTTCGTTAAACTTTGTCTCGAATGGTTGTCACGATTAACCGATGGTACAGTTAACTGGAATTCACTGCATTTCCACTGATCAACAGACGTATTAAACTCCGGAAGAAATATTAAATTGAAGCTTACAAAACGCAATTAATCATTTTAACGCGAATCCATTAGTCGGAAGCATCGGAAATAACACGAAACAAAATCCTTGTGCAAATAAAGATAAAACATGCAAAACATTTCATATCATATACGTAGAACAATGCGTTACAAACACATAGATTATTAAAATTATGTTTGAAATAGATTACATAGCTCGAGGAAAAAATTTTTAGGTTAGGTTAAGTAACTTTTAGGTTTTTATGTAGTAACTCTGAATTTGGCAATAAAGTTTCTTTATTGCATTAGGTTTTCAAGAGATAAAGAGATATTCATGTTCATTATTGACTATTTTTTATTTTCTATGCAATGAAACAATTTGAAATCATTTTTGTATTATTGTACGTTACTTTTTTACAATTTTTTTTTACAGAACTTGAATCTTCGATGCTGGAACATGTGGGTGTTAGTCCCATCGCTACTTTTAAGTTGCCGGTCGAGACTGATGCGAGGTCGTCGACGATTGTTTCTGGATAAGCTGTATCTACTATTAACGTCTGCCCCCACCGAACAACTGTTTGCCGCCTACGCTGTGGCACGGTAAGATGAATTTCATCGGATTATTGAAAAAATAACGATATTAATTAACACAAAAAAGTTACGATTCGTTAATTTAATGGTTTCACATAGCACGATTAAAGTAGCCTTTCATCAGTGTTGTGCATTCATTGTATTTAATTGGGTTCTGAAACACCCTCAGAGTTAAACATTTGGTCTTCGTCTGTAAGTTACCTTCACGAATTATCAGTCTTTTAAAAGTTTTCTCGCGAAGTGGAATCCACCTCCATCTCCGGGCAATATTAGTCTTGAGAATACTACGATCTCTTTTCTGATGTAACCTACTTATATCCTTGCTATAGAATGTATTTTCCAATGCATTCGCTGCTCGAGTACCTATCAGGGGAATTTACACAAATCTCGCGTCAATAGAGCGCTGGATATTGTACTCGGTTCTTTATCCTATAGAAAACTGGAATGAAGGAATATTGATGCTGTATTGGCGTGCTCGTATAACTTAATCTGATAATCTGATTGCAGCTTGGAGCTATTATAACACTCAACGATATTCGATCATTGCGTAAGCCCTGTTTGTCGATTTCTACGCGACGCAATGTAAGGATCTTTTCCGTTTATAAGAAACTTTTGCCACGAGTACTATTTACGGAATATAAAAAACGAAGACTAAAAGTGTTTTCGTTAGTCCATCGTTAATAAGATATTAGGAAATTTTAAATATCTTAATAACTAGCTCAAAGCAGATAAATTTAGATAGCTTTGGGTAAACCTATTCATATAATTAAAATAAATCAAATCAAAAACTATTAATTGCGGCATTTAACATTATAGCTCACATTTTACGTTTACCAGAGGGCATAACTTTTGCAGTTAACTCCCAGTAAAGTGTTAGTATTCAGAAAAATTTAATATGCAAATTAAACGTCGAGCGAAAATGCACAGTATTCGTTTTTGTGTTTGTTTTTTCATTGCGAAATTACATTGCTCCGAGCATTATACCAATAAAACGCCACGATATGCGACACTGTGACCTGCAAATAATAATTAATAAATAGCTCCGGTAGAAGCTTTCTTCGTAACTCGTGTTTGTTTTTTTTTTTTCCTCTTAAATTATGGCTTGGAGATAGGTTCATAAAAGGAGCAAATGCGCGCAACGCGGCGCCTGCGTCACGACACCCGGTGTACATCCATGGCCAAGGTCTTTCCCGGTCACGGGCAACCCGTTATACGTGGCCGGGAGCCGACACTTGCTCGAGGTCGTTCATGATTGTCTTGTTCGTCCCAAGGCTCGAGAAAGGTTGATCTGGAGGTAAATCCACCTAGGGCATTATGAAAAGATACTAGGCTTATAAAGATAAGCGTTATTTTCATAGGTCGACACCGATAGGTAGCAGTTGTCCTATGTACAAACAAATCATTTAGATAGGGAGAGCTGTCCATTTAAACGAACGTGTTCCGTAAACAATTTTAATTAATATTTCCATATACGAAGAGAAGTATTATACATTCCATTTGTTTCTCCGTCGTTCATGTTTTTAATTTTTAATTTTTCGTGAAACGTAAATTCTTTGGTTTCTAGGAAAAATTTGAATGGAGGATTCTAGAGCACAAAATAAGACGAAAATCAAGAATACCAATTTGTTGATGGAGGCTTCGTTAAAAAGTTATTAACAATTAAATTCAAAAATTTCAAATCGTTATGGAAAAATTATTTTCGGTTGCGGGGATCGATTACGATCATTTTTGGTGAATACACATACCTTCGAAATCCTATCCACTTTCGAGAAAAAAAATCGGTTAGGTGCTGAAATTTTTCGGCGAAAAGAAAATTTTTCAAATCGTTCCGGAAAAATTATTTTTGGTTGCGGTGATGAATTGCAATCATTTTTGGTCATTAGACATACCCTCGAAATCCTACTCACTTTCGAGACAAAAATTCGAGAAGGTGTGAAATTTTTCGATAGAATTCAAAAATTTCAAATCGTTTTGAAAAAATTATTTTCAGTTGCGGGGATGAATTGCAATCATTTTTGGTCATTAGACATGCCCTCGAAATCCTACCCACTTTCGAGAAAAAAATTCGAGAAGGTGTGAAATTTTTAGACGGAAAAAAAAAATTTCAAATCGTTCTGGAAAAATTATTTTTGGTTGCGGGGGTCAATTGCAATCATTTTTGGTGAATAGACATATCCTCGAAATCCTACCCACTTTCGAGACAAAAATTCGAGAAGGTTTGAAATTTTTCGATAGAATTCAAAAATTTCAAATCGTTTTGAAAAAATTATTTTCAGTTGCGGGGATGAATTGCAATCATTTTTGGTGAATAGACATGCCCTCGAAATCCTACCCACTTTCGAGACAAAAATTCGAGAAGGTGTGAAATTTTTCGATAGAATTCCAAAATTTCAAATCGTTTTGAAAAAATTATTTTCAGTTGCGGGGATGAATTGCAATCATTTTTGGTGAATAGACATGCCCTCGAAATCCTACCCACTTTCGAGAAAAAAATTCGAGAAGGTGTGAAATTTTTAGACGGAAAAAAAAAATTTCAAATCGTTCTGGAAAAATTATTTTTGGTTGCGGGGGTCAATTGCAATCATTTTTGGTGAATAGACATACCCTCGAAATCCTACCCACTTTCGAGACAAAAATTCGAGAAGGTGTGAAATTTTTCGATAGAATTCAAAAATTTCAAATCGTTTTGAAAAAATTATTTTCAGTTGCGGGGTTCAATTGCAATCATTTTTGGTGAATAGACATATCCTCGAAATCTTGCGCATTTTCGAGAAAAAAATTCAGTACGTGCGGAATTTTAAACGTTAATAACTTTTTAACGAAGCTTCCATCAACAAATTGGTATTCTTGATTTTCGAGTTATTTTGGCCTCTAAAATCTCCCATTAAAATTTTTGCCAGGGTTGGCCGAACACCCTGTATGTTGAGATCCAATAATCAGCGACTGTTAGAAATTGAGTCGAGGTCGGGTCATTGTATAACACCGAAGGATCTTCCTTCAGAGTAGCTTTTCTTCGACTTATTGTTTTCAGCGCAGGTTATTAGTTTACGCTACGGAATTGCATTGAGCATAATTATATCCACGATTCGCCAAACACAAACACATTTAAAATTGATTACTTATTTCAGAGTAAAGTAGATGTAATTTGCGAAGCCAGGAAAGTTAACTCCACAATACTATATTATTTACTTTATAGTCTATTAACAATCAGGACATAAATATCTACGTTTTATAGATATAAATCGGGGAATGCAGTATAATATTCCAGGGTTAAAAATGTTCCAAGCTTCTAAGCTATTCCACGAATTCTCCGACACAGAAGCACCTTCAACAGGTGACAACGCTATTATTATATTTTTATCTTGCCGCTATCTCGTTGGATCGTGACCAATTTTTAATTCAATTCATCCCGGCCCCTAGATACGTGTTTTCATCGATGTTTTCGCGTAGGTCAGTTCTGGATTTTGGCTGGGATACTTTCCTCGTACCATTTCCCATCTTTTATTCATTCTGAGCAAATGGTACTTGGTGTACAATATTTAGTAAATACGGTGAACGGATGAGATTCATCAATTTATATATTTAGTTATCCGTTTTCAAAATTCGAGATTACTGGTCAATCTAATACATTGTAATGCACGATAGGCTTAGGGAGGTTGAGTCTGTGTTAGTTTCCAAGGGGTGGGAAAGGAGAGAAACCTAACTTTGAAATTGAGGAGTAAACTCCCTCTGGTATCTTTAGATTTCCGGTTATTTTCCTCTCTTCCTGAAACGTATCTCCCGTATCCATACTTTCCCCGCGATGAAAGAGGGTTGGGGGTTGAGGTTGGGCCATCGGAGGGTGGCAAGTTCAAGGTCGGTACGCCTGGGCCACGTCCGGGCATGCTAACCCAAATACGATTACGGTCTGAGGACAGCGAAGAGTCGAGACAACAAACTCGAGATCTAGTTGGAGTATGCCGGGGCCAATAGTACAAGGATCTAACACCCAATTCTTCGTTCGAGATTCTACCGAGTGGATCCTCGATTAGGCTTGCTACCAATCATACTCTCCTAACAATAAGAGGTAGTAAACACGTATGTACTCAAAACAATACTCTCATTTTTCATGTGTCGAAAACGTTTGTAATTTTGTAATTATCGACTCCTTAGATCATCGCCCATCTTCGAAAGAGCGTTTTGAGTAGTTTTTTCTTATGATTCGAGAATAGTAACCACGTCTGTGGATTTTATATTTTTCACAATGATCGAATAGCTCGTGTGGTGTACCAGAGGGTGTAATTGGATCGTCGATATTGCTAATGACGCAAGAGATCTTAATTGAATGGGCGAACTAGACTACTTTTCGTAACAAGCAGGTCCATGAAGTATTCGTACGACTTGACCTGGTCTTCTTACCTCAACGTCACCTTGTTTTCGAATATTTATAACGGACATTTTTACACTAAGAAGCAGCCTAACCTATTCCTTTAAATCTGATTTCATGCTTAATCGCGATTCATGCAATTGCATCATGCTTGCGGAAGAACAATTCTACGTAGTAGCGAGCACTTCATGTCGATTACCTTGAACACAGAGTCCGTACATTGTGGATTTCAATATTTTAACGTTATGATCTGCCACGACACGTTAGTATTACTTATACCGTGTCGAAATTTACGAATGATTAGTTCCTTCAGTATTTATAACGAAGAAAACAATAATTATTTACCCCGTTGCGTAATGTGCTCGATTTGAAACCGAATAAAAGTTGGATGGATTGCGTGAAAATAAAATTTTGTTGCTGTTTTATCTTTTCACGTGATTGATAAATGATTGGGTGCATGATAGTTGAAAAATACAAAATAATTTCGAAGAAATATCTACCTTCTCTCGATGTAATAGCAAATTCCTGCGGATGATGGCTAATTTTTCTTCCGACGTTGATCCATAATGCAATTTCGTTCCAATGAACCAATTTGTTTAGAAACGGTGAGCAAGAAAAGATTTATTTAAGAATATTTCCCAAAATTGATTATTGGATATTAATTTCTGCATAAAAATGTAAACTAATATATCGAATAATAGGAATAGGCGGAAGACATAGATCGCAAATTGGGGTTAGAACATTTGTAAGACAGTTTACTTCGTAACTTAGCGGTTTATCATTTTTTTATTTAATAAATTCAACCTTTTGGCAACTACGCGTTTCGAGTTCATACACTCGCGTGTGCATCTAGACGCGTGTCTATGTGGGAGGATGCAGTGCGCTGCAAGTTGGCCGAGACATCGTCATTACGCTTAGTCACGAGGATTATCGCCTCGTAATAATGTCACCAGGACGTCTCATTACAAAACGCCCACCGAACATGCGACTCTCGGAAACGAGCGAATCAGGCGAGCAAATATTCTTGTTTATCACTTCCTTGAATTTACCGGTTGCTCGTGGCTTGCTCCAGGTGCACCATCATCGATGTCATCACCGACACGTAATCATAATTAATGGTCTTACGTGTCCGTAATTACTCAATGAAAACGAAAAACCTCTCAACATTTTACACGATTCACTCGATAACACAACAATTCAACGAATATTATTTGGTAGCTCGTACATCCGATTGAAAAAATTCTGAGATTTACACTTTGCATCCGTTTGTTAAGATTTTAGTACCCAATAAAATCGATAGATGTACTCTAAGTTAGATCGAAACGTTCAAATTATTAACGAAGATATTTAACTACGCACTCGCGTCGGGCAACGCCATTTCTTAAATCGACCTTACATAAACTTCCAGAAGCATCGAATCGCACGAGTCACGTTAATGTCGTAAGATGCAACTCGTTATCGCATCGAAAATACGGGTTTAATGCTTCTCTTCGAACCGAGAGAAAAAAAAATCGTGGATTCCATACTACCTGAAATACCGAACGAGCAATTTTATGCTAATGTCGATTATTATCTAAAAAGGAACTAGGAAAAAGGGTATCCTCGAGTGGGTTTCGTGTTCGATCGATGCACAATTGAAACGGTCGATTAAAATTCCGAACGGCTAATCGGAAAATTGTGGTGTCCCTCGGGGAATAAACTTTTAACTGCGGATTTCCTCGCGGAAATTATCCCGTTCGCCCACCATCCGGCCGGCGTTTTTCCACGGAGCTGGAAAATCCATTCGCTCTCTTTTCCTATTTTCCGCGTGGGACGTGCATTGAAACGCGGTAACCTTGAACTTCATCCCGACGTGGCCCCCTCCCCCCCACCCCCCTTCCGCGCCACCCGTCATCGTTCCGTCCTCTCTTTTTGTATCGTATCTTCTCTTCCCTCTTGTCATCGCTTTGTCTTCCTCTCTATAAACAACTTTTCCCTCTCTTATCGTTCCATCACATTCTTTCCTCTCTCTCTCTCTCTCTCTCTCTCTTCCGCTCTTTTCACTCGGCTCGTGTGATCCACTGACGTCACGGCTATCGACTCGAAATCCCGAGCTTGGGTACATCTATAAATACAGATTCTATTGCACGTGGAACGTTTGCACGTGTCGTGCGTTCTCTCGATACGTCCTCCCATTTCCCAACTGAAACGAGTAAAACTTCCCCAAATCGTACCTTGGACGCTCCGTTATTCGTGGCACAACATGTCAGAGGGTGATTTCTTACGAAATACACTGGACAAAAATAACAAAACAGTCAATTTTTAGCATCGGTAAAAAAAGGAAAATTTCCGTATATTTTTTCGTTCAACTTCGTTTCATCTTACTCTGTATAGGAATCTGTAGCGGAGAAAAGGAGAAAATAGTTTGGATAGGCGTGGTCGGAAAAGAATTCGTTACTGCCCGGGTTCCGTTTGTCCTTTCTTCTGTTTACAAGGTTTCACACGCACTCTGCTTCTCGTTGAGAGTCCGCGCTATTTACATACCGAGTTGTACATCTATCGCCACCAATATTATAACTTCGACCTGTATCGCCTACAAATCCATGTAACTCCATTCGCGGAGACCGATAAAGTGCATCGAAACTCGGAGTAATTTCTAAGATTGTACGTCAGAACTTTCTTCCCTGTACCGTACAAATCCGGAGCAATTTCGGCGATTGAACATGGAAACTCGCGCGCGCAATCTTCCGGATTGCGTCCGATATTCGTTCATTTTCTTTTTCGTCTGGTCCTTGAAACATCTGAAAAGAGGTTAACTCGTAATAAAGAGATATCCGGATATTTTGCGTACGGTTATGCTATGATCGTTGGAATTAACGCAATCACGATCTCCATTGCGTAACGATCGTTTTATCCAATTGCAGGTGGTTCATCGCGGCATCTTCAACCAGCCGACGACCAACGTTTCCGGGACAGTTTCTCCGTTGCGTTACGAGCGATTTTTGTTGACGCATGTGAAACCACGCGCTGTGTATTCATGCTCCAGCTAGACGTCATATCCTCGTGACCTGCGAGACCAGCGTGTGCGTACAGTGCACGTAAATGTGATCTTACATACGTGCCATGTCGGGACACATCAAGGGCACGGCCACAGAAGCGAGGATCCGCGATGGAAAATCACTATCGCGACGGCGGACAAGAAGCTCTCCGTGAAAATTAGGTAAGTAATCGCGCGTGCTCTTCGAAGTTACTAATCGCATTCGACAGAAGAGTGTTTGTCTTCTTTAGTTAGTTTTATCTTTTGCGTACACCCAACGCATTGTTGTTTCATGGAATGTAAAAACATCCCCGATCTTGAAATTCTTTAACCGAAGGTCACGTGTACGAGGTTTTATAACTCGTTCTTGTTCCTTTGTTTTATTGTTTGATCTACATAGGATACGGAACTGGTAAATTAATTATACATACGACCAGTTGCTAAAGCATTATTCTACGCACAGATAAATTACATATAGGATAGGTACAACTAAGTGGTAACTGTAACTGTTTATTCGCTATTATCGTGAAATAGACGGTGTTCTCAGAATAGAGACCTAGCAGATTTAATTCTCTACGAATTACCCATGTATTAGAAAATTGTTTGTGCATAAGTCACAAAGGAGAAGAAGAGTTTAAGATTTAAAGGATTCAAGAATCTCACCCTTAGAAATTATAAAAAGAAATAAAAATCAAATCAAAATCGAATCAAAAGATCGCTTTGTATGATAATGAAGTATAAAACTTGTAGTCAGCACGTTCGAGCGCGTAATACTGATGGTAATCGAGTAATTTTCCGGTAAATCGCCGCGATATCCGATCAAGTTATGTTTTCCTTTTTCCCCGCGTTTTATCCCGATAGGCTCAGGGAATTCCGATTTCAATTAGCATCGAAAGTGCTCCGGCGGACGTGGAATATGCTATGATGCATGGCGCGGGAGAACAAAGGAAGAATAACGAGCGACGGCGCTTCTGTTTGCGAAACGGGTGTCGTAGGAATGCAAAACTTCCGATCGCTAACAATGCTCGGGCGGAGAAAAGATGTGCATCGATTAAAACGAAAATCAACGATCAAAGGATACGTTTTTCAAATAAAAGTTCACCGGTGAAACCTGGACGAAACGACGATTAATGTTTGCAACGATAAATGTCCCAATTATCGACATAGTTTTGGGTCTTTGCAGCCGAGCTGTAGGATTTTCCTTGATTATATTAGAAAAGGGAACTATTTAATTACAAAAATATAGTACAATAATAGTAAATAGATATTAGATTGAAGTAAATGTTGGGTAAAAAGAAAATTATCGACGATCGGACTCTCTTACGCACGCAAGTCAGGTGGTAGAGCAATGCATGATGCATCCTTGACACCGACGGCCTTGTCAAGAATTTTTCTGCATTTGATTGTTGTTCCAAGCATGTTCCGCGAACTGCACTTGAGCAGATCTAGGAACGAAACATGCAAAGAGAGGGAGATGGAAACCGGAAAACCGAGGAAGATGAGGCGATAGCCTATCGAATGGTAGACGTGGCCCGACCTTCGGAGAATCGTAGGATAGACAATGAGGCAGATATAGTTGGTGGAACAAATATAGCGATCTCGTAAAAACTTCAGGGTGCCAAGGCGGTGGCGATCTTGACTGCTGGCTGCCAGCAACTCAGGGCCAGCTTCGAGGGATCTTTTTCGAACTTTAGAATTTTAAGGGCTTGAACGTTTCATAAACCGTTAAATGGGATCTGCTAGCCAACAGACCGCCATCGTCCAAGAAAACACGTATTTAATCGTTTAAATCAAACCACAGTATCGCTTAATCCACTAACACAAATTGGGCAAATTTTATTTCCTAGCAAAGAATACAAATTTTAGATTCATTCGTAAACTAGGATGTCTCCAGCGATTAAACTTGTAATCGTCACAGACATCATATTTGGTATTTACGTTTTTCTAGTCACGTGACATTTGTATCGAGTATGCTTTACGAGTAATCGTGATACACGGTTGCTTGATGAAATTTGTTGTACTTTTATTATAAATACAATGGCTGACGAAACGAAAGTGAAGGACAGATTATAATGAGTTCACATTTATGACTAAAAGATTTACAACGGAATTTGTTATTAAAATTTACGTTTAATTCGAACAGAAGGTACAGTTTCTAAGAACTATTTTTAGTTGGCCGGCCGACTGTTTGCCATTTCCGAAAGCGTCACAAAGGACCGTAGAACAGACCGGCAAACGTTTACGACCCCAACTTTTCTCTCATAATCGACTACACCTGAAACTGGGAAAACATCATGTCCTCCTCTTTTGACCGTTCGGAATTTACGACTCTTCGCGGACCGTTACGCCTTGAATACGCGCAAAGTTTCGGCCCTGAAATGTCGTAATGGATTTCGGGGAGAGGTCGAAGGGTAAGTGGAGATGATTTACAGCCACAGTTACTTCTTATTCTTCGTCGTATTTTCGCGCGTAAAACAAACTCTTCCGACGTAAAAATGAACATTTTCTTTTTAACGTCAAAGAGAAACCTTGAACCGCTATTTGTCGCGTCCGTTCCAATGCGCGAGAATCTTTTTCACTCTGAATCGTTCCAAAGAGTTCCAAACCGTTCCGTGGATGTTCAATCGTTGCAAACGGACAAATTCGCAGTTATTTTTGAACCTCTTACCTGTTTTGTTGTACTTAACACTGCAGAACGTAGATTATTGAAAATAGGGGTAGATCTATCATGAAATTAATACAATTTTTGCCTTCGATCTTCACGTAGAAAGAGTTCTTTGTCGATCTTTTAATGTAACTATTTGATACTTTTTCTTTATCGTTTTTCATTTTGCAATTTGTGGATCTCTTCGCGATCTAAGTAGGACATTTTCTAAGAAAAGGAGGACATAAGAGTACACGTGGTAGCTCTGGTCGTCGTATTAGCGATAAATAGTTGTAATAGGGGGATAAATATACTTTCAGGAAAAGAAAGAGATATGCAAAAAAAAAAAATTATTGAATGTGTACGTAAGTGCGTATAACGGGCATTAAAAACAAAAACAAAAATGTAATCTACGATAATCTACGTTATACTGAACTTGTTCCCATTCAAGCAATTGTTTCGCTCAAAAGGTCTTCCCAAAATAATTTTTCCTCCCCGAAAACGGATGATTTACGAACGAGTCGTAAAAATTGCTCGAGCGTGGCCTTCGACGTTACCTGTAAACGAAAATCATCGTTCCGTTCGGAGCTGTAGGGTCTTCTAATGTTTCTCGATTGACATCGAACAGATTGCTTTATAACTGGCATGATTTTTCGAACAATGGCTCGTAAAATGTTCGATGACTCCAGGCTCGTGTCACGGTCGCTTCGCCGCTGATATTTTACAACGACAATGAGACTGTAAGATTTATTCTCCAATGTTTATTCAGCGAAACAGTTATACAAATAAGGCTTTATTCGTTCGACTTGAAATATCAAATGAGACACATTCTATTGGAGTGGGTAAAAAATTCCTGCTTAAATCTTAAAAGCACATTTGATTATTAACATTTGACCGTATATTTCTGGTACGTGCAAGTATCGGTTAAAAAAAGGGACACGATCTCTGCGTTGTGCGGTACGTGAATCCTGAAATCGTTCTCGACCTCTGTTTCACACGTATATGCTCCTTCCTGGCGTTCGAATTGGTCGGCAGATATCGTCGTATTCAAGGTTAATCTGTTATGTGCTTGTTATTAATAACCGTGGTCACTAGCGAAAGTCACGCCATGTCGTACCGGGATACCCTTGCACCGGAAATAGTCAGCTTTCTGAATGAACCGTCGTCATCCAGACCCGATAGAACTTACGGAACTCCCACTGAAAACGTCTATTATTAAGCGTGACTTCAAGAAACTTGGTCGTTACTCGGAATGCTGGCCAATTGTTATAACATTCGTTGCGCTTACTTTCGATAGCGCCCAGGGTGGACGATGCAAGACAGCAATTTTGCAACCATTGCATTCTTTTTATATGTAACAACACAAGAACAAACCCAACATAAGAATAGTACAAATGTTTTTGTTGAGTTTCGTAGTTTGTTTAAACGGAACATGTTATTTCTGTGGCTTTACTTTTCTCTGCGAAAATGACACTTTGTTTCTCTATAAAAAATTCTTGGTACGAATTAGTAAGCAAGTTTAGTCGTTCGAATGAAATACGAATGATTATATTTAAAATCTAATTTTAAAGGGATGATCGTGGAATCTTAACATTTTTTTGAAATTATAACGCAATATGTGGTAATTTCTATTTCCTCATAAGATCAGAAGGTAAACAGGACGTTCAGATATCGCGGGTTAGGTTCGTGATTCTCAGAGCGGGCCGCGTGAGCGAAGAACTATGACGTGTTGTACCAATTATCAAAGTAGGTTCGATTTCCGTGTATGTACCGCAGATATTGTTAGAACAACGAAGTTACGTGCTCGTTTACTCAAGTGGTTGATGTGTACCGGTTTTAACGGTGTAAGCACGTGTGTGTAAAACAGAGGCCAAAGTGCACCTATGCCCGCGATTTCAGGCTAAAAACGGAGCCAAGGATATCGAGACAATAAGCAGGGCTAGAGTAATTCAACTCTAATACCGCGCTGGTTCTTTGTTGACCAAGGACTGTCATCAATTCTAAAATCGTTCCTCCAGTTTGTTCCACGGCTTCACACGCCAACAGTAAATACGTCATTGCAGTCTTTAACTTTTCTGTTATCAATGACTTCGAGAATGCTTTTAGCGAATGTTAAAAAGCACAATGTACGTACGAAGCGTTGGAAAAAGCTGGTTCTTGCTCGAGGAATGTACCTACTAGTTGAACAACATACTTTGAAAATTGGATTAGACTAATTAAAATTATTTGGTTCAGGGGAGATAAATTTTGTTCAAAATTGTCAAGGTTAATTTTTATTTTTCAACCTATAAAGAAAAGGGTTTAAAACAATATTTGTTAAACTGTGTCGAATGGATATAGAAAAAAGCGGTTAGTATGTTGGTTAGGTGATCATACAGTTGATAGATATTGCTACTGGAAAGGTATACCTCATTTTATGGGTCAATGTTGTGTCAGTAATAAAAATAATTGCAAAAGTAATTGTAGATGTGGCGAGAATAGGGGATATATCGAGCGAGAGCTCTTCGCTGGAAAGCACGTGCAATCATAATCGATCTGT